GGGTCCTGATGTGGAGTTCTTCGGCTGATCTTCTCAGACCTATCTTGGCATTAAAATCACTGACAATGATCTTGTAGAATGTGTGGGAGCCTCAATAAAGTGTGCAGAAGGTGTGGGACCTACACTACCTCCACTACCTCCATTTCCCAGCCGCCGCCATGCTCCAGGATGCTTTCCGGACACTTGGGCTGAGACTCAAGCACGAGTGAAGCCCCAAAGAACATGATAAGCAGAACTCTGAGACCTTGCACTCCAGGCTCAACGAACCCAGGGACAGAGATCCTCTGCTTGCTCCCCCAACCACAGGTGATGAAGGGATAAAACTAGGAGCCCCACCCTGCCCTGCCCTGTCTGCTTCCACCAATCGTCATGGACCCAGGGATTGGATTACGCACAGAAGACACACCCTACCAGTACCAGATAAATACCTCACCAGCAGACCTCCACTACCTCCACTACCCAGCTGCTGCCATGCTCCAGGATGCTTTTCATACCATGCGGCTGCAAAGTGACCATGCGACACATCATAGGACACTTAATACCCATCTTCCAGGATTGCTGCACCATATTTGATAGGGTTCAAATATGGTTTGAACCATGGGAACACCTACGAGGGTGATTAGAGGCTGCCCCAAAAGCGTCTATCCCTCTCAGAGAGCCTGGCAAACTACCAAGAGTATTCTTCCCACACGGCAGAGTCTGGTAAGCTATCCATGGCATATTGGATATGCCAAAACCAGTAAATACAATGGGTCTTATTCACCTGACCCTGAAGGAATCACCAATACGGCAGCGTTGAGAAGGATGTGAAAGGAGAGGCTGATAAAATCTCAAGGCCAAATTAGCTGCCCAAACGAAGAAAGACAAAAATGATTGTACTTTCAATGCATGTACTCTGGCATCAGATGCATCCATTGAGGACCTGATGGTACAAGCGTGAAAGATCAAGTACGACATCATTGGTCTGACCGAGACAAGAAGGCATCAATCACATCACGCCGTTTTCGACACTGGAGAAGAACTGTTCTTTGGAAGATGCGACAAAAGAGGCGTCAGAGGCATCGGTGTCCTTGTCAACACGAACTTGGCCATGAGCATTGATTCATTCGAATGCCTAACAACACGAATCGGCCGATTACACTTGAATAGATGTGGCTCACTGCTGGCAGTTTCTATCTTCGTTGTCCACGCACCAACATCCAATTATGATGAAGCCTCAATATCTTAGCAATGTTAATTTTCTCTAGTCTAAAACAGATCGAATGCAATACCAATACAAATCAAGTAGAGGCCATCATGCCCCTGGCTGGACACCACTGTTTGGGGACCAAGCCCCCATCCAGAAATTAATTTGGTAAAAAAATTAGGTATGTGGGTTTTGTGACTGAAATATCCGGACCTTTCTTCTATTTGGGATGGGCTACTTGGCCTCACTTCTGGAAGCCTCAGCAGTCATGCCCATACCCCAAAGTCCAAAATCCAGTTATAAAATTAACTTCAGATGTACCACCCCTTAAAAATTATGGGCTTCCTGGAGCTTAATGAGACCCACATTATACCCCTGCAGCCACATAGTGCTCCTCCACAATCTTTGAATAATTTCAGGGGCTGGAGCGATAGCACAGTGGGTAGGGCTTTTGCCTTGTACGCAGCCGACGCAGGTTCGATTCAGAGACCCTGGCAAGCTACTGAGAGTATCCTGCCTGCAGGGCAGAGCCTGGCAAGCTCCCCATGGTGTATTCGATATGCCAAAAACAGTAGTAAATCTCACAATGGAGACGTTACTCGTGCCTGCTCCAGCAAATCGATGAACAATGGGAGAACAGTGCTACCCGAGCCTTGGCTGAGAACTCTGGTGTTTTGTTTTTTCAAGAGTGGGTGACTTCAACTTTCCCCTACCCGTAGGACTTCTGAAAACCCTGGGAGCCATGCACACTTCTCACAGTTGCCACCAAGTCAACTCATTAGCCCAGACCATACATACACCCTGAAGCGTCTGGACCAAGCAGCTGAATAAATTCTTTGATAAGGACAACAATCCTGGGGCTGGAGCGATAGTAGAGTGGGTGGGGCGTTTGTCTTGCAAGCAGCCAACCTGGGTTTGATCCCAGCATCCTGTATGTTTCCCCCAAGCAGTCCAGAGGTAATCCTGGAGAGCGCAGAGCACAGAGAGCGCAGTGACCCCTGAGCATCGCTGGGTGTGACCCAAAAAGCAAAGCAAAGCAACAAAACTTAACCCTGTGATCAGATACAACTGCACTGTAGCACTTTAGCAATGTCCCCTGTAGTTCATCAATTTGCTTGAGTGGGCACCAGTAACGTCTCACTACAAATTGGGAGACTTGTCCTTACTGTTTCTGGTATATAGAATACATCAGAGGTAGCTTGCCAGGCTTTGCTGTGTGGGTGGAATTCTCTCGGTAGCTTGCCGGGCTCTCCGAGAGGGGTGGAGGAATCGAACCCGGGTTGGCCACGTGAAAGGCAAACGCTCTACCCACTTTGCTATCACTCCAGCCCAATTTTAATATAAATTCCTTTTTACACATATTGATTTTAATATTGCAGTTTTTTGTTTTTGCTAATCAATTTTAATCCTAGAATTGTATCAAAATACTTCTGGATTTTTTTCAACATTAAAATTTTTTATCTAATCAATTTTAATCCTAGAATTGAATCAAAACACTTCTGGCTTTTTTCTACATTAAAATAGAAAACAGGAGAATTTTTTTTTGGTATGCCAAAAACAGTAACAGTGAAAAATAAAAAGTATATACAAAATACAGTAAATCTTTGTTTTATTTATTGAACCATACTGGTGATGCTCAGGGCTTACTCCTGGATTTTCACTCACAGAAATCACTCCTGGTGTTGTCTGGGGTCCCCATATAGTGCAGGGATCAAACCTCAGTTAATGCAAGGCAAGTAACCTACCCATTGTGCTACCACTCCAGCCCCTAAATTGCAAAAAATCTTAATCTCCTGGGGTTAGACACAGAGAAAAGACAGCAATAGAAGGATTCATTAAGAAAAATGTGGTAACACTGAAAGAAATTATCATTAAAATTAATTATTAATTATAAAATTATTAGACATCCTAATAAAGATGAGATAATAACTGAAAAGGACTAATGTTCAAGATAGATGAAAAAAACTCATAACTAGGGGCTGGAGTGATAGCACAGTGGGTAGGGCGTTTGCCTTGCACGCGGCCGACCCGGGTTCGATTCCCAGCATCTCATATGGTCCCCTGAGCACCGCCAGAGTAATTCCTGAGTGCAGAGCCAGGAGTAACCCCTGTGCATTGCCGGGTGTGACTCAAAAAAACAAAACAAAACAAAACAAAAAATTCACAATTAAACAACAAAAATCCAAACAACCTACCAAGCTATATGGAGAAGAGTTTCATAAACAATTTACCAAAAATAAACAACCAACAGACTCAGGGAAAAGAACTCATTATCATATACTCTCAGGGAGCTGCAAATCAAGACAAAAATGAGATATTATTTCACATTTGTGAAAATGACTTATTAAGAAAAAGGCTGGAAAGAACAAGTGTTACCACGGGTGTGGAGAAATGGTATATGATATAATCCAGAAAATTTTCTATACTTCTGAATTTTATTAAAACACTGATCAGAAAATACATTATGCACACTCTCATTACATTGCTGTGTACAACAGCCATGATATAGAAACAACCCAAATGTTCAATAATAGTGAATGGATAAAAAAATGTGGTATAAAATACTCTGCTACATCTATAAAAATCTCAAATTATTGGCTTTTGCTCAAACATGGATGAAACTCAAGGGGATCATGCTAAGTAAACTTAATCAGAAGGAGAAGGACAAATATCTGCTGATTTCCTTTTTTCCTGCATATTATAAGAAACAATGCAAGGAACAGACAAAACTAAAAGAAATAAACCCTGGTGCTCCGAGGTTACCACCGACAGAGTGTGGATGGAGTCCAGTGGGCTCTGGTGGAGGGATATTGGTTCTGTGGTGGTGGGTGCAGTGTAGCAGCATACATTTTGAAGAACTGTGAAACTCTCCCTAAAACTTAGAGTCTTGTAAACTGTTACCTCAATAAAAAGAAAATAGCGATGAATTGCTTTTTACTATGAAAAACTTGTTCTGCAAGACAATATTAAGAAAATGAAAAAGACAAATATTTGGGAACCTAATTGCAAAACGCATACCAAACAAAGGACGCATGTCCAGAATATATAAATAACACTCACAATTCAATAATAACAAACACCCTACATTTAAAAAGTGAACGAAAGGACTTAAACAAATATTTAACCAAAGAAGCTTTAGAAATAGTAATTAAAAATAGTAATTGTGGTCAACACAAATAGCCATTCATGAAATACATATCAAAACCATGATTTTTAGTGTAACAATACCAAATACTGGCAAGGATGTGGAGTAACTAGAATCCTCCCACACTGCTGGTAGTGGCTCAAAAAAGTAAAACTAATTTGGAAAGCAGTTTGACATTTTCTTATACATTTGAATAATGATGCAATCCATAAATCCAACACTCAAAGAAATTCTAACTTACATTTACATAAAAAAACTACATATGAAATTCAGAACAGCTCCGTTGGTAATCTCTGAGCCTGGAAAAACCTAATTATCCTAAGATTGGTGTACAAACAACATAAAATAAAACTTCAAAACTGAAAACTCAGATGAAAAAACCTATTGATCATGCAATAGCATGTACAGATCTAAAAGGTGCAGTGTTAAGTAGCTAACTACAAAGTGTTATATTCTGATATGGTTCCAATTTATATAACATTTTCAGTAAGACAAAACATTAGTGAAGAAGAACAGATGTTAGTAGGTAGAGGAGGGACACCCAGAAGGGAAAAACATGAGGGAGTATTTGGCGTGACCGAGCTGTTCGCAACCATAATGGTTATGAATCTGTTAAAATCAAAAGTTAAATTTATCAAATAATAAAATTTTAAAAAAATCTGAACTCACCTCATTGTAGAAAAAAAGGTGCTCTGATACTGTCAAATCATCAAACAACAAGTCATGTTGTGGGCAGAAGCCCAAGTGTTTCTGAATATCAGTTATGTTCGTTGAGATGTCATATCCATTAATAAAGACATTTCCTCGAGTGGGAGGATAAAGTCCTGCCAGCAAGCAGAAAACATGATAGAAACTAACCTTTGGTGAGAGAGCTCGACGTTGTAAATCAGAAACTTAAGATAAATTCACTTAAGGATATTCAAAAGAATAAGGATTGTATTCTGCAGAACAACAGTTCAAGATAATATCAATCTTTTTTAGTGTATGAATTTCCTTTTGGCTTATACATAGTATTTTAGCATAAGTTTCATGGATTATATTTATCATAAAACATTAAAAAATTTAGCATTGTTTTGCACTGCAATCAGTCCATTACTGTATTTGTGTGCCATATGAAGGAGATTTGAAATAAATAATTTTTTTCTCAATACATTAAAATATTACTAATAACATTCCAAATATCACTATTCGTGATTAATCACTAATTAAAATATAACAGTTTTGTGGGAGATTCTATGGTGTTACATAAAGGAAGGCTATAGAGCCACTTCAACTCTATGAATAATTGATTCTTTAAGATAGGCATTTTCTTTAAAAATTGAGATTTAGGTGGCCAAAGAGATAGTACAAATGGTAGGATATTAGAGATGACAGTACAGATACTATAGATGATAGCACAGATGTACAGATCCTACATTTTCACCCTCCCAATCCCCAGGTCTTATTTATTTCAATTTTTTTCTTTTTGGGTTGGGATGGAGACATAGCACAGAGGGTAGGGCGTTGGCCTTGCATGCGGCTGACGTGGGTTCGATTCCTCCGCCCCTCTCAGAGAGCCCGGCAAGCTACGGAGAGTATCTCGCCCACATGGCAAAGCCTGGCAAGCTACCTGTGATGTATTCGATATGCCAAAAACAGTAGCAACAAGTCTCACAATTTGTTGTGGGATGTTACTGGTGCCCGCTCGAGCACCATTTATATTTATTTATTCCCTCATTTACAGGGAATTCCATAAAGTAAAAGAAAAGAATTACATAATGCAGGTTGGACAGAGTCCAATGCGCCTAGTTGATGTTTTTTCCTTAATATTGACAACTTGTATTTCCATGTGTATACTCTTGTTCAATTGTCATCTACTTGTGGAACTGCAGACTTCTTGTTACTTAAGATCATTTTATTTTTTATTTATTTAGTTTTTTGCAAACAGTAAGCAGGGTTTATTGTGAGACTGGCTAGACAGTGTTGAGCTGCCTACGCAGATACACAGGTCCAGCAGGTTGGGCAAGACCCCGAGCTTCTCCAAAGGAGATCTTATATAGGCCTTCACCGGCCGTTACAGCAGAGCCTGCACATTTCATAGATTTGTAGCAACACATACTTTCCTAACCAATCCATTTAAAAGTACATCACTCCTTAGCCTATAGTTTAAAGATCAGCATTAGCTGTCAGTGCTTAGGAACCTCCTGGTTTTTAGGGCAGTCCTGGGTCTTGTGACATGGATCTTGTGTGAGACAACTTAAGATCATTTTAAATGCCAGACATAGCTGCCTCTTTTTCTGTCAATTCCAACCTAGCACCCATACCTCCTTGCAACTTATAAGATAGGCATTTTCTTTAAAAATTGAGATTTAGGTGGCCAAAAGGTCCTTGGAAAGTACTTAGACAAATCAAAACATAAGGGATAAAACTTCTAGTGTTTTTTATTTTTATCCCAGGAGAAGAGCTTGAAATTAGAAACTTGACTCCTGACTGTGTCATGTCATGTGAGTGAAGAGTTTCGACTGGGAAAGTGCCACAAACTTCCAGCCTTTTAAAATATTGGTGGCATATTCAGTCGCATGCTAATGCCTCCAAACTGATTTCTGGTGTTATTAAAGAGGTATTTTTGTCTCTGTATTGTTAAATTGACATCTCTTGAAGAATCAGCCTTTAGAGATTCATAGTTTATCATACAGCTGATGTCACTCTTATTTCCTATTGCTTTTGTTCTTTTTCCTTAGTGATTGATTATTTCCTTTGCCCATTTCCAGAATTTTGATAAAATTGGTTATGAAAATTTGTAGTTGCTAATTTTGTTAGTGAAGGAATTGGAACTTGAAGCTATATCCTTTGTTATTTTGCTCCCGATATTTCTTTTGAGCTGTATCTTGGCATTGAATAGATTTTTCAATAGGTACAGAGTTGAATCAGGGATTGCCAGTGAGAATAAGGTAATAATCACATGCATATAAATTGCATATGTGTTCCAAAGTAACCTAAAATATGGAGCATCTTCCAAGAAAAATTATGTAGAGCAATTCCATTTTGTCTAAGTATATTTTGAATATTATCTGTGATATTATCTTGATAATTATTCTTTTAAAAAGGGATTTTGTTACCCAAGCACAAAAAAAATTGTAAATCTACAACTGTAAAAAAATAAATAAATAAAAATAATAAAAAAAAAGGGATTTTGTTGAGAGTCAGTTGAAAAATATAAAATATAACAGGGAATGTTGGTAATATTTATCACTCCTTATTCTGGTATTATTTTTATACCAGGAGAGTGGTCATTTTATTTCAGCTGGTACAGTCAGCCCTGCTCCAGATTTAGGACTGAAACTAGCTTCACATGGAACAGGAAATTAACTGCTCTAATAGTCCCTAGTATTATTCACTATTAGTTTTGTTTGTTTTGGGACCACACCTGGCAGTGCACAGGGATTACACCTATCCTTGTGCTCAGGGATCACTCCTGGTGGGCTTGGAGACCATATTGGGTGATGAGATTAAACTTGGGTTGGCAAGGCAAATGCCCTACCTGCTGTACTATTTCTCTGGATCCTATTCACCCATTCTTTATCCTGGCGAATACAATACGCCTTCATAAAATATTTTTGGATTTTTATTGCCATTATCACAAATTCTAATATAAAATCTATTTCCTAAGCTTTTTTATGTTCCACCTTTAAATGATTGATTTGTTTAATCTTTTAGCATTAGTTTAGATTCTTTCTCTGATATAATCATACAAATACTCCCTGATGTTAAGTATTCTGGTCTCTGCTTATTTCTATAATACTTTTTCTCTTTTCTTAGCTCTTAATTCAGGTCTCCCAAAGAAGAATAGAAAGAGCTATGCTTGGAATATCACGTTTCACTCAAATGAGAGAAAGAATCCGGAGTTCTGACATCCGTCGACGATCAAGAATCAGGGACGCTGCCTCATTTGCCAAGGTGTCGAAAATCAGATGGGCTGATTTTGCCAAGGTGTCGAAAATCAGATGGGCTGATTTAAATCTCACGTAATGAGATTTAAAGACGACCGCTGGACTAGAGCTGTTACCGACTGGATTCCACGGGATGTCAAAAGACCGCGTGTCCGCCCACCTACCAGATGGTCAGACTTCTTCGTCAAGATCATGAACAATCGGTTTGAGGCTCTTCATGTTCCCGGAGCGAAGAGATGCCATTGGGCTACACTAGCACGCGACAGGGACAAATGGAGACGTTACTGGCGCCCGCTTGAGCAAATCGACGACTAACAGGAAGTTAAGTGATTAAGTGATTAAGCTTAATCCTAGTTGACTCAGATTTTATGTCACTTCCTTTTCTTTATTGCTGGACAAGTTAGATTTCATCTGTTGGGTGATATGTTCTGTTGCTATATTCTATTAATATATCCAGATTTTATTGTTTCAGGGAACTATACTACACGTCAACTATTTTATATAGTGTATCTGTCTTAAGTTTTTGTCTATAATCCTACCAGAGTATTAAATTGAGAATAATAACTTGGTAAAAACCATTGTATTATTAATTCCTAAATGTATGGGCATACACGTATGTACTTTCAATAAAATAAATCATTTGGAGAGTATCTTAGTATTAAGTAATTTAAACAATAACAAAGTTTAAATGCCATGAAATAACATATACAATCCAACTTTTCTGAGCTTTTCTGAGCTAAATACATACCTGTAAGGATAGAGAGAAGAGTGGATTTTTCTTCACTTTTCCCTAGAAGAATAGAGATCTGTCCCATATATAAATTCAAACTCATGTTGTTTATTGCTATTCTGTGATCAAATTGCTGTGGGATAAAAGAAAGAATGGCTTTAGGTAAGAAACACCTACATTTCCTCTTTTCATAGAATCCTCCACTATGAGCCTGGCAAGCTACCCGTGGCGTATTCAATATGCCAAACACAGTAACAACAAGTCTCAAAATGGAGACGTTACTGGGCCCGCTCGAGCAAATTGATGAACAATGGGAGGACAGTGTGACACAGTGACAATGTGATTAACTCAAATACTTCAGTCTGATGCTAGCAGTGTTCTGACAGCAAAACTAGAGAAAGGGTACATTTTATTTAACAATAGTTTTCCCAGTGTAAAAGTGTTTTTAAATTTTTTTTAATTGAATATCTATGAAATAGACCATTACAAAGCCGTTCATGAGTGGGTTTCAGGCACCCCTCCTTCCTCCATCTCTCTCTCCTTTTGTGCATTATGGTTTGCAATACAGGTACTAAGAAGTGATTGTGTATGTTCAGGGCATTCAGTATTTTTATCTGGAAGGTAAGGCTGGAGTATCTTTCTAACTGGGTAACAGCTTTGGGGTGTGGATATGACTGCTGAAGCTTCTGGAAGTACAGGGAGGTTGCAACAGTGTTTTTTAAAGTAGCCTCAAAAGTTTATTTTTTCTTTTGTTGGCTTTGCCAGTGGAGTCCAATCACCAAAGACAAACCTGCAGCCAATACCACGTAATATTTTACATGTTTATATATATATATATAATCAATTTGTCAAACATCAAAGTCTTTAATCCACTCTGAGATCACTTTTATGCATGGTGTGAGAGAATGGTCAAATTTCTTTGACGGTCTTACCAAAACCATTTTTGAAGAAACTTTTTAACTTTTTTCATTTTATGTTTTTAGCTCTTTTGTCATATTTTACTTTTCATGTATCTGAATGTATAGTTCTGGACTCTCAACTATTTTCCATTGGTCTTTTGTTTCCAGTGCCACACTGTTTTGATTAGAATAGTTTTATAGAAAAATTTAAAGTTATGGAATGAAATGCTTCCTATATATGTGTGTGTGTTGGTGTCTCTCTCTCTATATATATGTATATACTTATTTATTTTTTCAGGATTGCTTTGGCTATTTGGGGGAAGGATTTATGGTTAAATTAGAATTTTAGAAGTATTTATTTTAGTACCTTTAAAAAGACTGAATGATTTTGCAATTATGATAGGGATCACATGAATCTATATAATGTTTTGGGAAGAGCGATCATTTTAATAATTAATAATCTCCTGCACCACGTGCATAAAATATTTTTTCACTGGTTCACACTTGAATATAGTTTAACTAGTACAAATTGCCATGCCAGCATCAATGTGTTAATAATGGCATATAGTTTTTGATGTACAGGTCTTTTGTCTTCCTGTTTAATTCTTAGGTACTCGATATTTTGAAAGCATTTCTAAATAAGATTTAAAATATTTTTCCTCTTTTAGTTCATTGTTTCATTAAGAAGTTCTACATGGAGCTGGAGAAGTTCTATAAAGAAGACCACACCTTCTACAAGATCATTGTCGGTGATTTTAATGCCAAGATAGCACCGAGAAGATCAGCTGAAGAACTCCACATCGGGACCCATGGCCTAGAATGTAACAAACAGGGTGAGAGACTGTCTGAGTTCATCATGTTGACCAAGACCATCCATGGTAACTCACAGTTACAAAAGGTCGAATCTAAACATTGGACATGGGAGTCTCCCAGTGGACGGTTCCACAACAAAACTGACCACATCATATTCAATTGACGGTTATGCCTGACTGATGTCGCTGTTGTCCCAAAATTCCAAACGGGATCGGACCACCATCTCCTTAGTGCAAAATTCTACTTCACAGAGCGGGGAGAAAGGGCTGAAAAGTTTAAGAAGAGAACTCCCAGAACGACCACCAACTGGGAGCTCTTTGGCACTATTGTGGCAACATGGGAAGATACTGTCACTGACAACACTGACGTAGAATACGATCGACTGGTTCAGCATCTCCATGATTGTGTGAAGAATGCAGAGAGAGAGAGAGCCACAAAAAGACGCCTGTCTTTGAAAACTCTTGAGCTCATTCGCCAATGTGGCTTGGCGCAAGCCTCAGACAACTGCAAGCTAATGTCCGAGCTCGCAAAGCAGTGCAGAGAAGCGATAAAGGAAGACCTCAAAGAGAGAAGAGCAGCAGTGCTGGCAGATGCAGCAGAAGGTGGGAAAAGAATTCGGAATGCCCGCCTGTTCTTCACCAATTACAAGACCAAGATGACTGCCCTCCGACATCCTGATGGATCTATTACATCTTCTAGAAGGGCAATGGAGAAGATTATCCATGACTTCTACTCAGATCTCTTTAATAGCCATGTCCACCTGCCCACATACCAAATTCCGCAGGTAGGATATGTCGTTCCCAATGTTCTTCCTTCCAAAATCCCACACGCCATTTTGTCGGTAAAGAAGAGAACAGCACCTGGCCCAGACAAGGTCAGACCCGAACACCTGAAGAACCTGCCGTCAGTACTCATCAATACACTGGCTTGGCTCTTCATGCGCTACGTGTCTGAATGCAAGGTTTCATCCCAATGGAAAACCAGCAGGACTGTACTACTGTACAAGAAAGGAGATATCCATGACATTGGCAACTATCGCCTCATCTGCCTGTTGTCTGTCCTCTACAAACTGTTCGCTTGAGTCATCCTGAATAGGATTGGCAGAACATTAGATGAAGGACAACCATGCGAGCAAGCCAGGTTCTGAAAAGGATTCAGCACCATCGACCATATCCACACGATAACCAAGCTCATTGAGGTTTCTTGGGAGTTCAAGATGCTGCTCTGTCTAACGTTCATTGATTTAAAGAAGGCCTTTGGTTCTGCTGAGATGGAAGCGGTCATGGAAGCCCTAGCCGATCAGGGCGTTCAAATTCAATACATCAGGATCCTCCGTGAGCTGTATTAGGAATCACTACCAGGATCTCACCATTCTACAAAGAAGTGATCATTGATGTCAAGAGAGGGGTTAGGCAGGGTGAGACCATTTCACCAAAACTCTTCAGTGCCACCCTCGAGAACCTCATGCGACGACTGGAATGGGAAGGAATGGGAGTGAAGATAGATGGTCGGCAACAACACCACTCCGCTTTGCTGATGACATTGTTTTAATAACACCAAACATTAGCCAAGAGGCACAGATGCTGGCCGACTTCGACCGCAAGTGTGGAAAGGTCAGACTACAGCTGAATCTCACAAAGACAATATTTATGAGAAACAGTCTCGTTCCTGATGTTCCATTCATTCTCAATGGGACGAACATCTCTGAATGCAACACTTATGTGTACCTAGGCCGAGTAGTCAACATGACAAATGACCTGGCATCTGAGTTGCGCAGGAGGAAGAGAGCAGCTTGGAATGCCTTCAAGAGTGTCGAAGAAATAGCTAAGAAGATGAAGAACCTCTGGCTCTGGGCACATCTCTTTGATTCCACTGTTCTTTCTTCATTAACATACGCCTCAGAGACCTGGGCCCTACGCAAATAGGATGAGAATACTAATCCGGTCTCCCAAAGAGGAAATGAAAGAGCTATGGTTGGAGTATCATGCTTCACTCAAACGAGAGAAAGAATCTGGAGTTCTGACCTCCGTCAATAGTCAAGAATCTGGGACACTGTCTCATTTGCCAAGGCGTCAAAAATCATATGGGCTAGAGACGTAATGAGATTTGGAGACGACCACTGGACTAGAGCTGTTACCGACTGGATTCCACAAGACGTCAAATGATCGCGTGGCCACCCACCTATGAGATGGTCAGACTTCTTCATCAAGATCCCGAATGATCAGTTTGAGGCTGTTTGTATTCCTAGAATGAGCAGACGCCATTGGGCTACACTAGCACGTAACGGGGATGAATGGAGACATTACTGGCGCCCGCTCGAGCAAATCAATGAGTAAAGGATGTCAAGTGATCAAGTGATCTAGTTCACTGTTTGACTATATAGATGCAACTTTATTTTTGTTTGCTTCTTATGGATGGAAATGTTGGTTATCACATTAAGTGATATAATCCCTAAGAAGAAAGACAAATACAGAATGATCCTATTCATTTGTGGTATATAATGAAATAAGGGAAGGAATGGACAATTATCCATGAAAAAAAACTTTGGGCTCTGATTATAGGATTTCCCACTGGGCATATGAGTGCTGATCATCACATGTTATGAGCAAAATACAAATAAAAATAACAAAAAAAAAACCAGTGAGAATAGTCTATGGGGGGAAAACAATTGGAAACAATCAGGGTTTGTGGGTATGTGATTAAAAAAAAGTACCCTTATGCATTGTTTTCGGAAAAGTTATTTGATTCAACTTGTACAGAAAACAGTATGGATATGTCTCAACAGAGAAATATGTCCCAGTGATTCTACTTGGTATTTTTTCCAAGAACACAAGAAAATTAAATCCAAAAGATATATGCATGTCTATGTTGATTACTGGAAGATCCCCCCCATCTTCCAGTAGGAAGGCGGCACACCCACCAGCTGTCGCCAGCACCAGTTTGGTCCCATCAATGGCCAAGATGCAGAGACTTAAAACCCAGCTCCTGGAAGCTTATTATCTTATTATCTCGTTTTTCTTTTGGAGAACCTGGCAGGCTACCAAAAGTATCCTGTCCGCACGGCAGAGTCTGGCAAACTTCCCGTGTCATACTCAATATGCCAAATACCAGTAACAATGATGGGTCTCACTCTCCTAATCCTGAAAGAGCATTGAAATGGCTCTTTTAAAATCTCAGGGCTAGGAAGAAGGAGACGTTACTGGTGCCTGCTTGAGGCAATCGACGAACAACAGGATGATCGTGATTGTGATGTTCATTACATTGCTATGTACAATAGTCAGGCTATGGAAACAGCCCAAAAGTCCAATGACAGGTCAATGAATAAAGAAGTTGTGGTATATGATCCCTACAGCTGAAAGGACAATCTCTGGAGATGGATGGGCTGGATACAATTGGCCACTGTCCCCACACTCCACTACTACAGTCATGCTAAGGGCTTAACTCCACCACTTCACGAATATTCTCTGCACATCTCTGTGAATAATTTCAGGTATGCGGTGTCCAGGCTGAGAACTGTGGTGTTATTTGAGTTGGAGTGGGTAACTTCCCTGAAAGCCCTCATACTTCCAGAAGCCCCAGAAGCCACACCCATTTCCCGTAGCCAGTGGCATGCTGAGTCACTGGCCCAGATCATAGATCCTGAAGTCTCTGGACTGGCAGCCACATATACAGCTGTGCAACATCTCCTAATTCCTCGGTATTGAAATTCCAGTAGGGGCATACCAGATTAGATGGGAAAGTAATGTAGAATCTCAACAAACAAAAGCAATAACACAGATGGCTCAAATAGTAACAAACAGCTTAATAAAGTGTTAGGCAAGGACTTAACTCTGTAATCAGATATAACAATTTTCACAAAAACTGATGTTTTATACTATTGATTTAACTATGGAATTTTGTTATTTAATCAATTTTAATTTTTTTCTATTTATGAAAGATTTTTGCCTAAGTTGGTTGAGCTGAGACATTCTAGTACTTAAATGTATAGTTTCTACCAGCATGTTTTCTTCCCTGCCTGAAGCTAGGTGCCTTTGTAAACTTTTGTAAACTCTTTTGTTAAAGTCTGATCTCAGCTATGTGAAGGCTACTTTGATGACCAGGAAATGGGTTAGTTTATCATCACCAGCTCATGTAAACTCAAATACGTTTTAGCACAGCGGTAGGGCGTTCGCCTTACAAGCGGCCAACATGGCTGACCCGAGTTCGATTCCTCCACCCCTCTTGGAGAGCCCGGCAAGCTACCGAGAGTATCTGTCCCGCTCGGCAGAGCCTGGCAAGCTCCCTGTGACGTATTCGATATGCCAGACACAGTAACAACAAAGTCTCCAATGGAGACGTTACTGGGCCCGCTCGAGCAAATCGATGAACAACGGGAGGACTGTGACTGTGACTGTGACTAAAAAATTAAACGTTGTGGCTTTTTTCTACATTAAAATTTTTTTTAAAAAGTAGTTGTGGTATGTTGTAGTTCTTTCTGGGACAGCTCCCTGACCACCTGGACTGAAGGGCTTGTGGGAAGGCCCCAAGGCCCAGCCTACATGAGAAACTGGCATTTCTTGATGACTTCATGACCTTGCAACTGCTGGCAGATGGGACTTGAGTCAGGGGCAGTCACAGAAACCCTGCGACACCTCATGATATTCTATCCTATTTAGCCCATGTAACCATAGAGTTCACCTTTCTCTTCCTGTCTCGTGCTCCTCACAAAGTGCATTCTTTTTTGCTCCTATATAATCACTGTTCCCCCCAAATAAACGCTGTCATGTGGCCATCAGTCTGTGGCCTGCACGGATGGCATCTCCCAGCTCATCTTTGAACTATTAGCCTTTGACTGGAAGGTTAGTTTCCCTGTTCCCAGATTTCATAGCTGCACTGATAGCTAAAGTGTTATATATACCCAATGAAATATTACACAGCTATAAGATAAAATCCTGCAGTTTGCTACAACTTGGGATGGAACTGGAAGCAGTCATATTAAAGGCAACAAGTTGGAGAAAAATGTTAAATAGTGGATGATCTCAGTTATCTGTGGCATATAGAGAATCAAAATGATACTAGCAAACAGTATCAAATGATGACAAACCCTTGGGAGATGGCAAGCTGATTACCAATCAAAGGGGGATGTAAATCATGGACTAGAAAGTGTATAAAGACAGTAGTGAAAGGGTTTGGGCACTTTGGAGATGGTAAAGATGTGCAGTTATTTACATAATCACCATAAAATCTAACTATTAAAAAGTTAACTACTGTCATGATCTTACGTAAACTCAGTAACTATTAAAAACAAACTCATAAATCATATTACTCCAGTTTTTGATCCAATCAGTGGTTTTTCATTGAAATAACTTAGTTTTAATTCTTACCTTGATATTTTGCCTCCAAATATTCCTTGAACACATTTCAGGGCCAGAAATAAATAATTTACTGTTTCCTTACCCTGGGTATTCTATTCTTTCCTTTGCTATCTCAGGTATCTTTAGAGAGGTTTTTCTTTATCTTCCCTTATTGTTAACTTCCCCATAGAAACCCAAATATTAAATATATTATCAGAAAATTTGTCACTGTCACTGTCCTCTCGTTGTTCATCGATTTGCTCGAGCAGGCCCAGTAACGTCTTCATTGTAAGACTTGTTGTTACTGTCTCTGGCATATTGAATACATCACAGGTAGCTTGCCAGGCTTTGTTGTATGGGTGAGATATTCTGGGTAGCTTGCTGGGCTCTCCAAGAGGGGTGGAGAAATCAAACCTGGGTCAGCCGGGTTGGCTACGTTCAAGGCAAATGCTCTACCCACTGGGCTATCACTCTAGCCCTAAAATTTTATTAGCCACAAATTTTTACGAAATTTAAAAATCACTTCTTTCAAACCCATCAGAGGAAATTGAAAGAACAATGAACAATAGATGGAGCAAATATGACATTTGTGAGTGTATATTATAGTTTAATATTTGAGTCTTTATTAAGCACCTTTTTGTTTGAATGCCCAGTTACAAACAATTCCAATGGACAGTATATGGCTTCCGGTACTTTTAGGAAGAAGAGATACTTGAAACAATACCTTGTGCAAATGTTTCATCTGGATACCTAGCCTCAGATGAGTAGGTTCATCTTCAAAATACTTTCTTTCAGTTTCCATAGAATAGTGCTTTTCTTGTGTGCTCATTCTAACATTTCTTTTTTTAAACCAATATGAGTACTAAAAGATAAGAGAAAAAAATAAGAGGAAAAAACCCACTAAACATTAATGAAATGAGCAACAGGAAATGAAGTTTTCTTATATAAATAGGTTTATAATAAGTGATAGAATCACTGATCAGAAGCTCCCTGTATTATATATGTTGATATGTATGTATATATGTATATATTTTGAATAAAGCATAAATATGATTGTATTTTAGCATGTCTTAATTAGAAAATCAGTGAATTAACCATAGATGGCCAGCAGCAAGAATGCAAGACCATATGGCTGAAAGATTTCTTTTTTTTATGTAGGAGTACTGCTATTTATTCAGCCACTGATTAGGCTAATTGAATTGTGCATGAACTCCTTAATTTTTTCCCATTTTTTATAATTTTATTTATTGAATCACCATGAGAGCAGTTACAAAGCTTTCAGATTTAAGTTTCGGTCATACAATGAAACACCCGCACCTTCACAAGTGCCCACTATCCACCACCAAAATCCCCAGTATGACCCCATCCACACCCTCCCCCTACCTGTGGGGCAGATGATTTCCAAATTACTCTCTCTATACTTTAATTACACTCAACATTTCGACAACACACCCACCATTATTATTTGGGATTTTACCCTAACACTCGGATCTGCTAAAAAGGCAACTGTAGACAATTTGTTTTCTATTACTGGTTATGAATAACATATGATGCCGCGTGGCTGCAGTAGAGACCGTGCGGTTTTGAAATTCCAAAATTTCTTACCAAAACCTGCAAGGTTCCGAGATTTGTTCCTGAGTCTCTGGGATCATGGCCATTAAGCAGCTTGATCAGGAGCCAGAGAGGCCGCCCGTGGAGGGTGACTCGCAGTCTCATTGGGATGGGGAGGAAAGGGCCGCCTCCACCCCCATCCCATGAGGCCCCGCATGTCTCATCGCTGCGAGCCCAAACCTGACTGTCCAATGGCCTCTGGCGGATGGCGGCCATTGAGCCGCCAAGGGTAAGCAGGCGGAGAGACAGCACCCTTCCCCCCTGGGGTGGCCTGGTGACAGCAACCTACTGCGTGGTCCGGATGCATTTCTGCCAAAACCCGCTGGGTTCCAAGATTTGTTCCTGAGTCTCTGGGATCATGGCCGTTAAGCAGCTTGATCAGGAGCCAGAGAGGCCATTCATGGGCAGCGACTCGGGGTCTCACTGGGATGGGGAGGAAAGTGAAAGATTTCTTAAGGAAAAAAGGCTCTCCTGAACAAGAGGAAAGCCTGAGCAAACTTTGGGATAATCTTCAACTGTTATACTAATGCAGGGAAAAAACCCAGTAATTTTATTTATTATTTAAAAATTTTTAAATTATTATTATTATTTTTGCTTTCTGGGTCACACTGGAGTTGCACAGGGGTTATTCCTGGCTCATGCACTCAAGAATTACTCCTGGTGGTGCTCAGGAGGCCATATGAGATGCTGGGAATCGAACCCGGGTCAGCTGCGTGCAAGGCAAACACCCTACCCACTATGCTATAGCTCCAGCCCCACAAGAAATTTTAAATACAAGGAAAAAAACAAATGGTATGAGTCACTCTGTGTTAAGTCAGAATATGTAACTTTCACATTATATGACATTCTAAAGGCCAAGCATAAAAACAGGTATTAGGTGGGTTTTGGATATGATTAAATATAACAATATAGTAGTTATGGAAAGAAGAAATGAAAACGGTAATTCATACTTTTAGGGATGTATATGAGGTGCCAGAGAGATACTACATACAGCAGTTAAAGCATTTGCCTTGCATGAGGTTAACCTGGGTTCAATCCTCACAGCACGCCAAATAGTCCCCCAAGCACTGCTGAGAGTGATCCCTAAACAGAGCCAGGAGTATATCCTGAGCAACACTGGGTATGGCCCAATCCCACTCCACCCTCCAAATGTGTACAAGATTCAAGTCTATACAGAGAGATGGAAATTCATATTTCTTTATTTGGTATTAAATTTCTTTGAAAATACAATATTTAACATAATGTTTTTTCCACCCCTTAGTCTCAATTTCTAATTCTGCTAGGTGACAAGTGAGTAATATACCGTATTTTGAGAATATTCCTAGAGGCAATGTATACATCTATATCTATATCCCTATATAAACACATATATGATGATGTGAATTGACCATTAAAGAAACAAATACTTATACGTGTACACAGAAACACATGCACACAATTCACCCACCTTAATGAATGAATGAGGCTGCTCCTGGCTCATTGCTTTGAAGTTTGCTCCTGACAATGCTTTGGGGACCAAATACTGGAAATTGAACCAAGGCCTCCTAAATGCAAAGCTATTACTCCAGCCCTTTGAGCTCTCTCTCTCTCTCTCTCTCTCTCTCTCTCTCTCTCTCTCTCCATACCTGCTTCCCTCTTTCTCTCTCTCCCCCTTCCTCCCCTTCTCTCCCTAATTATTGGGATTTTTTAAAAAAGATATTGGACTGGAAGTTGTCTCTTTTTTTGTAGTTTTTTGTTTGGGGGGCTCGGCTCTTCACACGCTACCTGTCTGAATGCAAGGTTCCGTCCCAATAGAAAACCAGCAGGACTGTACTACTGTACAAGGGAGACATCCACGACATTGGCAACTATCACCTGATCTGCCTATTGTCTGTTATATACAAGTTGTTCACTTGAGTCATCCTGAATAGGATTGGCAGAACACTAGATGAAGGACAACCATGCGAGCAAGCCAGGTTCCGCAAAGGATTCAGCACCATCGACCATATCCACACGATAACCAAGCTCATTGAGGTTTCTTGGGAGTTCAAGATGCTGCTCTGTCTAACGTTCATTGATTTAAAGAAGGCCTTTGATTCTGTTGAGATGGAAGTGGTCATTGAAGCCCAAGGCAATCAGGGCATTCAATCTTAATACATCAGGATCCTCCGTGAGCTGTATTACGGATTCACTACCAGGATCTCACCATTCTACAAAGAAGTAATCATCGATGACAAGTGAGGGGTTCGGCAGGGTGATACCATTTCATCAAAACTCTTCAGTGCCACCCTCGAGAACATCATGCGACGACTGGAATGGGAAGGAATGGGAGTGAAGATAGATGGTTGGCAACTACACCACCTCCGCTTTGCTGATGACATTGTTTTAATGACACCAAACATTAGCCAAGAGGCACAAATGCTGGCCGACTTCCACCGTGAGTGTGGAAAGGTCAGACTACAGCTGACTCTCAAGAAGACAATGTTTATGAGAAACAGCCTCTTCCCTGACGCTCCATTCGCTCTCAATGGAATGACCATCTCCAAATGCAACATTATGTGTATCAAGGCCGAGAAGTCAACATGACAAATGACCTGGCACCTGAGCTGTGCAGGAGGAAGACAGTGGCTTGGAACGCCTTCAAGAGCGTTGAAGAAATAGCTAAGCGGACGAAGAATCTCCGGCTCCGGGCACATCTCTTTGATTCCACTGTTCTTCCGCATTAACATACGCCTCAGAGACCTGGGCCCTGCGCAAACAGGATGAGAATGCTATTTGGGTCTCCCAAAGAGGAATTGAAAGAGCTATGCTTGGAGTATCATGTTTCACTCAAATGAGAGAAAGAATCCGGAGTTTCGACCTCTGTCGATGATCAAGAATCAGGGATGCTGTCTCGTTTGCCAAGGTGTCAAAAATCAGATGGGCTGGTCACGTAATGAGATTTAGAGATGACTGCTGGACTAGAGCCGTTACCGACTGGATTCCACGGGATGTCAAAAGACCATGTGGCCTCCCACCTACCAGATGGTCAGACTTCTTCATCAAGATCATGAATGATCGGTTTGAGGCTCTTGGTGTTCCTAGAACAAACAGACACTAGCACGCGACAGGGACAAATGGAGAACGTTACTGATGCCCGCTCGAGCAAATCGACTATTAACGGGAAGTCAAGTGATCAAGTGATTTGTTTGGGGAACTATACATAACACTGAGGCTTACTTCTGGCTGTGAATTCAGGGAACTCTTGACGGGACTCGGTACAAGGCAAGAATCTTACTTACTGTACTGTCTCTCCAGTCCCGGAATTGTCAAATTTTGCACTGATTAAAGCTAATCAATTTTCTTTCAGATTCTCTTTTTTAGGGACCAGAGTGATAGTCCAACAGGGAGGGCGGTTGCCTTGCAACATGGCCCATCCGGGTTTGATCCCTGGCATCCCATGTGATTCCCTCAAGCAGAGTTAGGAAAATTTCTGAGTGCAGAGCAAGGAATAACCCCTGAACATCTCTGGGTGTGACCCAAAAGCAAAAAAAAAAAAAAAAGAAAGAAACTTTACTTTTGTAGAGGAACATTGTGAAATTCTTTAAATCTATCAACTAATGTTTATATTACTCAGCCACAACAATGCTGAGACCACTCTCCACACGCATGAAGGAACTGGGAGAGGAACACAGGCATGCGGGTCCCGGGGCTGAGATTTCCAAGCCTGCTTGGATCGGGACTGAGCATCCTCCATCCAGATCCTCCATTTTCCAGTAGGCAGGGGTCACACCCAACAACTGCCCCCGGCGCCAGGTAATCCCATTAATGGCCAAGACCCAGAAACTATAAAACCCAGCTCCTGGAAGCACGCGGCCACATTGTGGCCACGTGACATCTTTTATCTCGTTCTTATTTTGGACAACCTGTCAGGCTACTGAATGTAACCTGCCAACACGGCAGAGTCTAGCAAACTCCCCGTGGTGTACCCAATATGCCAAATACCAGTAACAATGATGGGTCTCATTATCCTAATCCTGAAAGAGCCTTGAACATGGCACTTTTTAAAATCTCAGGGCTAGGACGAAGGAGACATTACTGGTGTCTGCTTGAGGCAATCGACGAACAACAGAATGAATAGTATCACTGATTTTATAATGAGTGTGGAGTGATAGCACAGTGGGTAGAGCATTTGCCTTGCAGCTGATCTGGATTCGATTCCCGGCATCCCATTTGGTCCCCTGAGCACCACCAGGAGTGATCCCTGAGTACAGAGCCAGGAGTAAGTCCTGTGTAGCGCTGGTATGGCCCCCATAACCACAAAAAAGTAATGAATTTAATCACTAAAATATACCAACACTGAAGAAAAATAAAGTCCAGTATCAGATGACTTCACTGGTGAATTCTAACAAATAACAATCATTGTCCAAACCCTCCAAGAAATACAAGATGCAACGTTTTCTAACTCCTTTTGTGAAGTCAGCATTATACTCTTCCCCTAAGCTAGACAAAGACATCATAAGGAAACAAAGATCAATATTTTTATACATATAGATCATATAGATACAAATATCTTCAAGAAAGTACTGGCAAAAATAATACCCAGTAGTACCACTGTAGCACTGTCCTCCCATTGTTCATTTATTTGCTCAGGTGGGTACCAGTAATGTCTCTATTGTGAGACTTGTTGTTACTGTTTTTGGCATATCGAATATGTCACGGGTAGCTTGCCGAGCTCTCTGAGAAGGGCGGAGGAATCCAACCGGGGTTGGCCTGGGTCGGCCATGTGCAAGGCAAATGCCCTACCCGCTGTGCTATCGCTCTAGCCCTCACTATAAAATCAGTGATACAATCACTATCAGTGATACTATTTCATATCCAGTAGTATATGAAAATATTATCCCCTTTTGGGGGAGAAATTGTGAGGTCTCTCCCAGGAATGTGTGGGTACCATACTATATGCAAATAAATTGAAGCAATATATTATATTAATAGAATGAATAGAAAAAATATATAATCATTTTTTTCAGAAGGTTCCATCCAAGCTGTAGCAAAATGAAATATTTCATCTTTTATTATAGCTGAAAGTATTTTTTTAATATATCCAATCTTTCTGTATCCACTCATTTATTTCTTTCTCATCTGTTGTTGACTATTAGATTCTTTCCATATCTTGGCTGTTATAAATAGTTGCATATTAAACATAGGTGTGTATATATATACTTTTTGAATTAGTGTTTTGTGCTGTCCTACTTTTGTTTTTGAAGCTCTTTCATTTGAAGTAAATTGCTATAATCATTTATTCGCTTATTTATTTGGTTTTGGGATCACACCTGGCTGTGCTTAGGATTATTTATGGCTCTGAGATCATGGATCACTGCTGGTGGCTTGCAAGACCATATGTGATGCCAGGGATTGAATCCACCACAAGCAAAGCAAGTGCCTTACCTGATGTACTATCATCTTTCTGGCCCTGTTCTAACCATTTGAAGAAAAGAAACAGTGAAACAACTGACACATTAAATACCTAATTCTCCACTCACTAGGATCTGAGAAACCATCATTTTAAATTTAGGTGGGAACAATTCTTATAGTTTTTTTTTTTTTTGTCATCATGGTTTACATAGTTGGGCTTTTTTTTCTCTTTGGGTCACACCGGTGATGCACAGGGGTTATTCCTGGCTTTGCACTCAGGTATCATTCCTGGTGGTGCTCGGGGGACCATATGGGATGCTGGGAATCGAACCTGGGTCAGCTGCGTGCAACACAAACGCCCTCCCCGCTGTACTATCACTCCAACCACGGATTTCATACATGAACTATTATAGCACCACAGGCATCTGCTTCCCTCCACCACTGTCCCAGGGTCCCTCACCTTCCATCACCACTCGTCAATTTTAATGTATGGGGCTAATAATGTTTTAGCCACACATACTATCTGTACATATTTATATATTTAAAAGGTTCTAAGATATATCAAGGAATGACTAGCATTTTAGTAAATCATGTAGATGCAAATAATCCTGCTTTAAATTTGTTATAAATATGAACTGATTATGTCTTCTTTGCAATTACCAGCAGCATTAAGACTCACCATGAAAAAGGAGTACCATGGTTGGTGACTGCCGTAATTCTTTTTAAAGGTAGTGTCTATAAACCATGTAATTAGGCCATACAAGAAAGCGTCAAGTAAAAGCATTCCTATTAAATAGCCAAAGATGATGTTATCCTCAAGGCTGACTTGGGTCCAAAGGTTATTCCAGTTAACACCATATTCTGAAAGAAAAAAATGTTTTTACAGTCATGACAGCTATGTGATTAGAAGAACAAAGGAAAAAGGTTGGTATGCTTAATTTTTATCATTGTGAATTATCTACAAATTGATACTCTTAGTATTTAGATCAAGCAAAAAATTATGGGTTATGTAACTGAATTGGTAGTGTCCCTCTTCTCTTCAAAATATACAAAGAAGCAGCAATAACTGAGACAATGTGAATAAAAGTATAAAAGCAGATCTGTTAGATCCTATTCCTTTGATTTCCCCTCATGCTAAATTCTCACGAAATACTCACCAGGTATATTCAATGACAATAGAGGAAAATGGAAAATTATTCAATGGCAACAAAGATGGATGCTGACTGTCAAACCAAAGATCAAAACGATTTGCTTATAAAACTGATGAAAAAGAGGAAATTAAATTCTCCATAAAAGAGTATTCTGTTCTTTTATTTTCTTTATTACTGGACAGAGTGTAACTTAAGTATCAAGGCTTGCAATGTGAAGAGGTAACAAGATGATGGTGGCCCAAGAAAGTCATCTTTCCCTTAACTTCAACTCATTCTTCTCTCTCTCTCTCTCTCCCTCTCCTCCCCTTTCTCTCCTTCCTTTTTCCCTTCCTTCCTTCTGTTTCTTATGTGATAAACTCAGTGATAGAGTTTACTGCAGGATCTGTGCTAACTTCTGGACTCTGGTAGTCTCAGGGGGAACATAGGGGATCAAACATTGTTTGGGATCAAACTTTGGCTAGTCACATGCAAGGCAAGCATCCTACCTGCTGTACTATTTTTGTGGCCCTTCTTTTCTACTGAACAGCTGCATGAGAAAGTCATAAGGCAAAAGCCGGAGAGAAAAATTAATGGAATTTTAAAAATAAAGGCCATTTTCAAAAGGCAATGAACAGAATTAGAAAAAAAGAAGGTAGAATGCCTACTAAAACTTGAGAAATTCTCCCTCCCCAAAGACAATATGAGTTCCTGAAAGAGAAAATAATACGGAGAATAATAAAGATGAATAACATGATATAAATAACCCAATTAGAAAACAAAAAAGATACAGTCTATTAGAGATAAAGACTATAAAAATACCATATGCGGAGGGCTGAAGGAAATAGTGCAAATGACTCAAGTATATGTGTAGCATGTGCAAGACCTTGATGCGGCTCTGAGGTCTACTAGCCCTAATAGGTATGACTCTGGCGACCTCCTGAGCACTGCAAGGGGTAGCATCACAGACTATCACTCCCTAAAACCCTGATATTGATAAATCCTAGTGAATCTGTTAATATATTTTATAAAGAATATGAAGTAAAGAGCCATATATATATTTTTGTTTGACCATTCACTGGGGGTACATTTTAATTCAGAGATGAGAAAATATTCTCAGTCCTCATCACTAATCAAACGTATAATGAAATGCATACAAAAATCACCAAGATTTTTTATAATAAAGTGATTTTAAAATTCAAGTGCAATATAAGATGACAAGACTATCTAAAGAACAAAAAGGTACTATGGCAAGATTAAGAACCATTGAGACTTTTTATAAAGTTATTATGAATAAAGTTATTGTGGTAGAAATATAAAAATAGACTACAAAACGACCAACAGAATTGAAAAGATAGCCAGATACAGGTCTATGCATATTTGGAAATAATGTAAAATAAAAGTAGAATCAGAAACCAGTAGAGAACAAACTAGTGATTAAAATAGCTCACTATTCATATAGAAAAAATATTTATATGGAAAGGACATATCAGTAAATCATAAGTATCAATTATATACTTATATTAAAACAATATGTATAAATATTAGAAAATGGCACAGTATAGAATTTCTTGATTAAAGTACAAACTAAATAAAAACACTAACAATTTCATTATATTGAATTAAAAAATTTGGAACAAAATTAAAATATTTGGAACTTAAATATAGGAAAAATGAGTTAGACTAAGACTATTTATTTATATTACCACAACACTTAGAGGATCCAAATTCTTCTATGTAATGGTAAGGAATTAGTCTCCCTTGGCAATTAAAATATTTAGAAGTCACTGTTTCTGACTTAGCAGAAAAAAGAAAAGGTGAAATAATTTGATAGATATAAAAACCTGAAACATTCCTCAACTTAGTGGAACTAAATCTATAAGACTATTTCTTTTCCATTTAAAGCACTATAGCACTGTCCTCCCATTGTTCATCGATTTACTTGAGCGACACCAGTAACGTCTCACAACAAATTGTGAGACTTGTTGTTACTGTTTTTGGCATATCCAATACATCACAGGTAGCTTGCCAGGCTTTGCCGTGTGGGCGAGATACTGTCAGTAGCTTGCCAGGCTCTCTGAGAGGGGCGGAGGAATCGAACCCAGGTCGGCCACGTGCAAGACAAATGCCTTACCCGCTGCGTTATCACTCCATCCCTTTAAAAATTTTTAAAATTTAGACTGCTGTTTTGTATCTGGTTTTGTATCTGACATTATGTGTCCCGGAAAACCAGTAGCAATATAAGCATCATTTAGGAAAGAATTCTTTGGAAAGAAAACTCGAGGTTAAAAAAGAAAAGAATAATATAAGATACTCAGCATAAATATCTTGATATTCTAGGTTTTCATTTCAGGGAAACCCTCGCAAGACATCAGGTAAGGATCATCTACACTGTATCTGGTATTGACAGTGAGGAACTCAATGGGTGGCAGAAGTATTACTGGCTCCTCATCTCTTCACATTTACAGCAGGCGTAACTTTTCAAGTGTTTGTGAAGAACAAAGAATTTTCTAAACAGAAGGTAGGTGGCAAAGAAGAGTTCAATAAGGACTGGGTAAATAGTCAAAACAAAGCTTGTAAGAGATGACGTCATTATTTTGTGCTACATGGGCTGTGTGTAAATGCTCACACTTCGATTTGTGTGGCACTACACAGAAACTCAGTTAAGTACTCTGAAGGAAAAAGATGACCCCTAGATTTGGGGTCCTTATTTCCTCCCACCATAAGAAATCTCTGGTAATTAATTTCTATCCTTATCCATAGAATCTTGGAGAATATAAGGAGAAAGACAAACCAATTTAGAAGAACCTGCATAAATCCTTGGATTACATTTATTTCCTCACTGTGGTCGTGCAGAGTTTGGAGGAAAAATTAGTTAGAGGAAACAAAAGTGCTCTATTTGCTCTTCTAGGGGAGGGTGTTTGGGCCACCTGGTGGTGTTGGGCTTATTTGTCTGGCTCTGTCCTCAGGCATTGCTCCCAGTAGTGCTCAAGGGACCATACACTGCCTGATTGAAACCAGGCCTCCAGTAGCATAGCCTGTGTTCTAGCCCTTTGAAATCTCTTTCTGGTCCTGTATTTGTCTTAAAATTAAAAATTATACTATACTATGCTTTGATATAAGAAAATAGTATGTTATTTATATATTAAATATATATTTCTATGTAAATATATATTTATAAATATAGTTATATAGTAAATACACTAATATACTAATCGTTAATATATTGGTATATTGTTGTAAAGTGTGTAGAAAAAGTTAAACTTTTTTTTTTGCTTTTTGGGTCACACCTGGCGATGCTCAGGGGTTACTGCTCGCTTTGCATTCAGGAATCACTCCTGGTGGTGCTCAGAGGACCATTGGGATGCTGGGAATCAAACTTAGGTTGGCCACATGCAAGGCAAATGCCCTACCCGCTGTGCTATCACTCAAGTCCCCCAAAAGTTAAATACTTTGGTGAGAGAATTGGCCTAATCTCTCCTTGGAGGGGAGACACCCAAACAATTTTGTTAACTGGGCCTGTAGTTTAATCTGAGTAACCTAGGCTGCAATGCTACTTGTCCTGAAGTGCTGAAAATCACCCAAGGTACCCTTGGGTGCTCTGTGGTCCTCAATGCCACACCTGGTGGTATTAAAGGCTACATCCATCAATGCTGGGGGGATCATATGATGCCAGAGATCAAACTGAGGTTGGATACATTCCTGCAGGCCCCAGTCTAGTCTATTTGAAGGTTATTATAATAGCAATGCAAATTAAGCTACAAATACTTTAAAAGACAGTTATTATTTAGGATTTAAGTTAGTGTCCACTCACAAGTGGAAACTATTTAAATAGGCACTTAAACAGAAATATATTACTATATTATAGTACTTCTTCACCATTAAATATCAAATAACTGTAAAAAAGGAGAGTGAGTCTATCTCAAGAGGTTCAGTATGTATAATTATGTAAATAAAGTAAGTTGCAGAAGACTTTTAAATTATTTCACTTGAGAGTATAACTGAAGCATTGTTGTGGAGAAACAAGGAACTTTCAATTTTTCACACTTCTGTTTTTTTTGTTATATATAATCTTAAATTAAAAATCCTGGGGTCAATTTTTTTTATAACATATTCTCAACCTCCTGGCCACGTGTGGCTCCATTCACACTGCATCTACTCAGAAAGACACAAGTCACAAGTACCTTTTATTTCTGACCTTAGCAGAAGATTAACCCCCAGAGCCAAGGCTACATTTGAACTGAGACAAGAAACCATCTTCTGAGGGAGGCTTAGCACTCCATAATATTCAGCCATGAAATTATATGGAAAGAAACTGGCAAAATATAGGATGCTTCCAAACGAAGGAACCATTTCAGCTGCAAATAAGAAGCAAAGATAGAAATCCACTTTAAAAAGTAATATGAAAGTTATGAATTACAAATAATTTTATGGGTCAGCAAAGGAATAGAATGCAAAATCTACAAGGGAAAGAAAACTGCCTCCCTTTTTCTTTCTTGCATTATCAGGTACCAGCACACAGTATGTATCCAGTGAATAGGCCTTGAATGAATAGTGTATAGGATGAGTCAACATCTACGATATTTATCAAATGATACATATTTAGAAATTTCAATAGGAATTACTATCTAGCAATTGAACATGCAGTCATAAACATGTTATGGAAAAATTCCTTTTCTGTCAAATTTATTTATTCACAAGTTCATTTGATTTGACAAACTGCAAAGGCAAACTATTACTATTGACAGAAGTTCAATGCACTTAAGTTTTCCAGAGATTTGAAGCGATGGGTAGAAAAACAGTCTAGTTTTAAGCCTTACTTTCAGTCTGAATCATGATACTTAAAAATTATTTAATAGATAACTACTAAAAATGGAATGCCGGCAAGTCCATAAATATTGGGTTTTATAAGCTAGACAAAGAGGATTCTAGTTGAGATCATCATGACTATATACTTTATTTTTTGTTCTTGGGCAACACTCAAAGATGCTCAGGACTTCTAGTTTTGCACTCAGGGATCACTCCTGGCACTGCTTAGGGAACCATAGTGCTGGGGATCAAACCCAGATTGGCCACATGCAAGGCAAGCACCCTGCCCCAGTAATCCTTTCCAGTCCCCATAATAACACGAAGAAAGCAAATTCGTGATGCTAAGGATCACCTGGGCCATCCAAGCAGTGAGCGTAGGTCTCCAGGGTGACCACATAGCGTGGGGAATTGAACTTGGGCTGGCTGTATGCACTTAATACCTATGTTATCTCTCCAGCCCTTTCAATTAGATCTTCCTAACATTAGGACCCCTAAATACAATCTCATGTCAACCACAAAGAAGCTGTCTATAAAATACACACATTAGAAAATAAGGACATAAAACAAACTACAAAAAGGCAACTGAAACAAAAGAATTCACTAACAGAAAATATGGGAGGAAAAAGGCGCTAAGGCATATAAAAAACAAGTGTCCATTCTCCATAATTTATTTAAATAAAATGTATTAAAATCTCTAAATAGAAAGGTTCTCAGGGAGAAAAAACCAACTATATGTTTTTACAAAAGTCTAAAGACACAAAAAGGTTGAAAGTAAAGGTAGAAAACTGTGGTATGTAGAAATAGTAACCTAAACAGTGTGGAGATTTTATGCTAATACCAGAAAGATCATATATAAAAAAAGCTCAGGGCTTACTCTTACTCTATACTCAGGGATCATTCCTGGTGAGGTTTGGGGAATCAAAAACAGGGTGCCAGGGATCAAACCCAGTTTGGCGATATGCAAGGTCAGTGTCTTGTCCACTGTACTATCTCTCTGGCCCTGAAATACAGTAACTCTTAATGAAAAGTTCAAGTTAGCACTTGTCTTATCAAGAAGATAAAACAATTGCAATTGATCTTCTGTGCTAGAATATAAATCAAGACAATAAGTGAGTTGGCTAAAAGGAGTTCCCAAACACCTATTCTGATCAACTAAAACAGACATTTTATTGAAGAAGACTTACCTTTAGACTCACCTTTAGTGAAGAATGTGCTAACCACAAAGGCATAGAGTGTTGAGGCAGCAGCATAACAACGTATACCTAACAAATCTTTGAAATACATTAAGCACCTTGGTGGAGGGACGATCACTTGGGTGGAAGGACTGGTGATGGAACAATGAATGCCCAAGACAACTGTATTACGAGCAACTATGTAAATTACGATGTTTAAGTTTCAAAAATTATGTTAAGCAAAACATATTCAAGGAAAAACAACAATTCCACATCACACTACCACACACACACACACACACACAAAAGAATGAAGGATGAAATGCCTTTTTTTTTCCTTTTTGGGTCACACCCAGCAATGCTCAGGGGTCACTCCTGGCTCTGCACTCAGGAATTACTCCTGGTGGTGCTTGAGGTACTGCTGGGAATCGAATCAGGGTCGGTCGCATGCAAGGCAAATGCCCTATCTGCTGTGCTATCACTCCGGCCCCTGAAGGATGAAATTCTTAAGTTGTGCTGAAGTGAATGTGGCTGGCAGGATTTGCTTATCTACCACTCCAGTAGGGAGGTAATCACTGTCACTGTCCTCCCATTGTTCATCGATTTGCTTGAGCGGGCCCAGTAACGTCTCCATTTTTTGAGACTTGCTGTTACTGTGTTTGGCATATTGAATACGTCACAGATAGCTTGCCAGGCTTTGCTCTGTGGGCGAGACACTCTCAGCTTGCCGGGCTCTCCAAGGGGGGCGGAGGAATCGAACCCGGCTCAGCCAGGCTGGCTGTGTGCAAGGCAAATGCCCTACCGCTGTGCTATCGCTCCAGCTGGCTAGAGTGGAAGGAGGTAATAAATCAGGATATTGTGATGAGAAATACAATTTTAAAAGTCTACAATAACTTTTTCAGGCTTCAGTACCTTACTTTCAGTAAAGGACACAACAATCAGATCCAGAAATATAATGAACTATTGTTCCTAACAGACATAACAGAAAACATTCTTTTAAAGTGTATGGGGGGCTACATGTGGTAAGGAAATACAAAGAATATGATGAATAATAAATAATTATCAATCTCTTAGTGGAAAATTACTTGAAAACAACTTTTGCAGAAATCATCGGTCAGTTTATTCTAAGTGTTCTAAATGGTGGCAATGGAGCTCCCAAACACTAGTCTGATCAATTAAAACAGAACTTTTATTAAAGAAGACATCTTAGACTCACCTTTAGTGAAGAATGAGCTAATCATGAAGGCATAGAGTGTTGAGGCAATAGCATAGCAAGTTAGAAAGGCAAAGATGAAACTAAAATCACTGTAGCGGAATACTGGTTCATTGAGAATCTACAATAAAAACAATCATGGTGTCATGTAAGGTACAGAATACACAGTGTCACCAAAACACAAGTGAAAAAGAAGATGATGGATTTAATGAAATAAGATAAACTGCTCAATGGCTAAAATTCAATGAGATAAAGGTTGACAAAAAGCTTTCTTACAGAAAGGTTTAAGTTTTTCTCAGCAATTCAGCAACCTCTACAATAGAGAAAATAAAATCCCCATCCAACTTCCTGGAAACCTGAGGCAATAATTATTTTTAAGGTTTTATTTTTGAATCACTGTGAGATAGATCTTTACAAAGCTGTTCATAATTAGGTGTCAGCCATATAGTGCTGAGATAATAATTGTACACTCTATCATCTTTTTTCTTTCAAAGGATAGTTGAAACATGCTACAGTCGACTAGAATTGTCTTACATAGTGTCATTTAGCCACATTAAGCAATTAAAATACACCTAATGTGATTGTAGGGTTTTAATTTTCATTGAACTTTATTTTAATTTAATTTTAATGAGAAAAATTAAGGCACTGTAATTTATAAAGTTGCTCAAAATAGAGCTGTTTCAAGAATACCATGTTCCAACACAAATGCCATTACCAGTGTGATTTTCCTTCCACCAATACCCCCAGGTTACCCCCAAACCCCCTCTTACCCCCAGCCTGTCCCCCTGGCAGACACATAATAAATTTAGTTCATATTGCTTGCTCCAACAAAACTTAAAGGAATGGTAAATGAAATTATTAGAAAACAAATCAGTAAAAATCAATTTGTGATGACTATGTGATTTTAACCTACGTAAATAAATTCAAATCATTTAATATAAACCTATTATCATTTACATATATAACTTTCAATCCTGTTATCTAAAATATAGTGCACTAAATTTAATTTAACTTGGATCTCACTGCGGTAATTATCATGCTTTCCCTATCATTAATAAAACATTTTTAAAAAATCCTGTGCTATATAGTTTATATATTATATTACAGGTCCTGCTTAAATATCTGTATTAATAAGTAAAAATAGTGCAATACATTTTCTATAGATGTAAAAAAACTCTTTAGACATAGAACACTTAATATAAATGAGACAGTTTGTTTTGAAAATGTGTAAAATCCCTTAGCGAGCCAGGAGTAAATATACCTTTCTTAATCAAGTAGAGAGAAACCATAGCACCATGAGTAAATGCCGTACCTAATGCCACATGCTGAGGAGTTTGTCTTGCCTTTTTTTCCCCCCTGCTTTTTGGGTCACACCCGGAGATGCTCAGGGATTCCTCCTGGCTCTGCACTCAGGAATCACTCCTGGCAGTGCTCAGGGGACCATATGGGATGCTGGGAATCGAACCTGGGTTGGCCGTGTGCAAGACTATCGCTCCAGCTCTGTCTCGCCTTTTAAAGAAGCTCCATTAATGCTTTGTTAATGCTTTGGTTTCAAGACCATGAATTCCCTAAGCTGCTTTGTGTCCCTGAAGATCTGTATCGTTAGATCTAAATGATAATCCTTAACTGTAATTATTTTTAAATAAATGTAAAAATACAAAAGCACACTCAAATTCAGAGCAAGTAATTTTCTAATGAAAATATAGTGTATAACTTAACATGTTCTACTAACATAAAATACAAACTAAAGTTTGAAATGTATGTATAAAATAATGAAAAATATCCCAAGTTTTGCATTGGAAGCATATTAAAATATTTTGCACATAAAGATTTAAGCAATTTACTTGTTTTTACTTTAAAATATCTACATATGACACTCATTATATATCTGTTGGATAGCATGAAATTAGATGCTTGCCTTGACACAGAATAACACACATATCAAAAGGATAGTAACGATATAAATTAGGAAGAATGTGAAGAAATAGCCAGCCCAAATCATCCAGTTCCTAAGTCCACATATGATCTGGTACTCCTGTAGGAAAGTCAATGAAAATAAGAATATTACTAGCATCAGCAATAGTGCATTCACATATCTTTCTAATTAAATTTCCATGAAAAGCTATATAGTTAATATCTCCATTTTGTCAATGAGAAAAACAAGGCTCAGAAAGTCTAGTGTATTGATAAAAATGACACCATAAATGTAACACTGGCATTAAAACATATTACTCTTGAGATTTTTTGGGTGCTACACCCCGTAGTGCTCAGGAATTACTCCTGGCTCAGTACTTACTCCTGGAATACTTGAGAAATCACAAATGAGTGCCATAGATGGAACCTGGGTCAACCATATGGAAGTCAAGTACTATCTCTTTGGTCACCAGGAGATTTTAGTTTTCAACACTACAAATACTACTGGACCAAAATGAAAAACATTTAAATGAGATTTTAAAATACTGGAGTTAGGATTTCTTTCTACTATACCAACAATATTATCAAGTATATCTTCTAACAATCCAAGTTAAAATCACAAAATCACAAATCATCCTGCTATTCGTTGATTGCCTCGAGCAGGCCCCAGTAACGTCTCCTTCATCCTAGCCCTGAGATTATATTCAAGGCTCTTTAGGAGAATGAGACCCATCATTGTAACTGGTATTTGGCATATTGGGTACGTCACGGGGAGTTTGCCAGACTCTGCCCTGTGGGCAGGCTACATTCGGTAGCCTGCCAGTTTGTCCAAAGTAGGAATGAGATAATAAGATGTCATAATAGGATGTCCGGGAGCTGGTTTTTATAGTCTCTGAGTCTTGGCCGTTGATGGGATTACACGGTGCCAGGGGGCCAGTTGGTGGGTGTGACCCTCGCCTACTGGAATTTGGAGGATCTGGGTGGAGGATGCTCAGCCCCGATCCGGGTAGGCTTGGAGATCTCGGCCCCGGAACCCGCGTGATTTTGTCCCTCTGCCAGTACCTTCATGTGTGCGGAGAGTAGTCTCAGCATGGTGGTGGCTAGTCCTGGAGGTCTTCGGCTGCCGGAGCCCTGGTCGGGGCAGGGAGGAAAGCTCAACCCGCTCCCCTCCAAGGGGCCCGGGCGAGGATAGCCAGGCGCGGGGGCAGGAGACTGCACTGTTCTCTTCCGGGAGCTGGTTTTTATAGTCTCTGAGTCTTGGCCATTGATGGGATTACTTGTGTAATCCCAAGTTAAAAGTTGGTTGTAATCATGCTTGCTTCTTGTAGGCAATGTGTCTTTTTATTATCCTCTGGTTTCTTCCAAGATGTCTCTTTCTCTTTGGTTTTCAGCAGTTTAAATATGTTGAGGTATATGCGTGCATGCACGTGTGTTTTGTGTGTGTGTGTGTGTGTGTGTGTGTGTGTGTACATTAACTTGTGCATGTGTGTGAGAGATAAGTTTATTCTGCTTTGTGTTCTTTTGATTTCCTTCTTTGAAGATCTGTGGTTTAACATCTAACATCAACTTTGGAAAACAGTCTATCGTTACTAGTTCTAGTTATCGTTATCGTTCTAGTCTTTAATTTCCTATTATGCAATTAACAATTATGTATATAATATTTCGCCTTATAGTCTACTATACATTTGTATGCTTTCCTCTGAATTTTCACATTTCTTTTATGCTTTTCATTTAGTTTTTGTAATTTCAACTATCTTGTATTCAATTTTTATTCCTTCATTAAGGTTTCTACTGATGAATTTTTCCAGTATTCATTAATGAGCATGCTTTTAAAATTTCTTATTGAATCACTATGAGACACAGATTTACAAAGCTGATTATGGTTAGGTTTCAGTCACACAGAGTTCCAATGCCCACCCCTCACTACTGTACATTTCCTACCACTAATATCCCCAATTTTCCTCCTGCCACACCATGCCCCCAGTCTGTCTCTATGACAGGCACTTTCCTTTTCTTGCTCTCTTTTCTCTCTCCTCTTTTGGGAATTATAGATTGCAATATAGGCACTGAGAGTGAGATGTTTGTTCTATACCCATTTTAGCACGCAGTTCCTATCCAGAGTGATCATTTCCAACTGTCTTTATCATAGTGGTCTCTTCTCTATCTGCCTTCTCCCTCAGCACTTGAGACAGGCTTCCAACCATGGACCAGGGCCTTGACTTGGGTATTATGGTTTTTAAAAAATATCCACAAATGAGAGCAATCATTCTATGTCTACCCCTCTCCTGACACACTTCATTCAACATGATACTCTCCATGTCCATCCATTTATAAGAAAATTTCATAATTCCATTTTTCCTAACAGCTGCATAGTATTTCACTGTGTAGATATATCATAGTTTCTTAAACCAGTCATCTGTTCTCGGGCAGTCGGGTTGTTTCCACATTATGGCTAATGTGAATAGTGCTACAATGAACATAGAAGTGTATTTCTGCTGTGTGTTTTGGGTCCCCAGGCTATAATACCAGAAGTGGTATGGGTGGGTCATATGGGAAGATCAATTTCTAGCATTTTGAGGAATGCCCATATTGTTTTTCCAAAAAAGTTGGAGTAGTCGGCATTCTCAGCAACAATGAAAAAGAGTCCCTTTCTCCCTGAATCCATGCCAGCACTAGTTGCTGTTGCTTTTTTGGATATATGCTAGTTTCTGTGGTGTGAGATGATATCTCGTTGTTTTGATTTGCATCTCCCTGATGATTAGTGATGTGGAGCATTTTTTCATGTATCTTTTGGCTATTTGTATTTACTCTTTGAGAAAGTTTTTGTTCATTTCTTCTCCCCATTTTTTGATGGGGGTGGAGAAGTTTTTTTTTTCTTGTAAAGTTCTACCAGTGCCTTATATATCTTGGATATTAACCCTTTATCAAGGTGGGTATTACATAATATTTCCCAATCTGCAGGCTGTCTTTATATCTTGGTCACTGTTTCTTTTGAAGTGCAGAAGCTTCTTAGTTTAATGTATTTGTTTATCTTTGCTTCCATTTGCTTGGTCAGCAGTGTTTCATCTTTGAAGATTCTTTTAGTTTCTTCAATGTCATGGAGGAGAGATTCTGCCCGCATTTTTAAAAAATTAAAAATTTTTTAATTTTATTTTTATAAAATTGTTCACATTGATTTATTACATTCAATATTCCAACATCAATCTCACCACCATTACACCTCCTCACCACCATTATTTCCTATTTTCCCCAACCACAACCCAGGTCTATCCCAATAGCTGGCCCTAAAGGATTTATTTTGTATTGCTGGTTATGGTTTAATTCACTAAAAATGATCAAAACAGACTGCCTTAAAAGAAATTGTGAAGATTGTTGTATCTCAAGCCGGAGCCATTAAGCTTTTGTATAAAACATTACTAACATGTTTTTCACAGGTTAAGCCTTGTGGTTGCCTTTTACTTTACATCCCATCCAATGTGGTGTGGTACTCCTCATATGTCGTTGATGTGGAGTAAGAGATGTCATGCAGCCACGTTTGCAGCTGCATGTTGCAGGAATTCTAAAATTTTGATGGGGTGATACAACTGGGGTTGAATTATTAACTGGATGGTAACTCTGGACTCTGGAAGCATCTCTGCAGCTTGAGATTGAGATTGCAGCTCAAAAATCTTTTGAGATTTATTTATGAGTCTCTGTATCATGGCTGGTTAATGAGCTTACTTGGTGAGCTCTGGAGGCAGTTCATGGGCATGACTGCCAGGCTCCAGGGAGAGCAGAGGAATGGGGGGGGCGGTCACCCATCCCTGACACAGTGAAAGCTTAGAGATTTCTGTCACAAAATCCTCCTACCTGAGTTTTTCAACAAATGCATTCATGCAAGTGTCTCGTCTGAGCCTGTGGGGTCCAACAGTGAGCCTGGTGGCGATTAGGTTCTCCTTTATGTATCTTAAGGATTCAGGTCTGAAACTGAGGTCTTTAATCCATTTTGACCTGACTTTTGTGCTTGGCATTAGAGAGAAGTCTGAGGGATTTTAAAAAAAATTTTTTTGCATGTAGCTGTCCAGTTTTCCCAGCACCACCGACTGAAGAGGCTTTCCATGCTTTACTTCACATGTGTTGCTCCTTTATAAAAAATTAGCTACTTCTAGCAATTCCATTTTGTATTTTTATAGCAGTATTATTTATCTGATCAGCAGCCTGATGGCGCCTTCAGACTTCCAGATATCCCAAAATTGCTGCTGTGCCTTTGGCCAGACCCCAAAAACTTGGGGCAAAGTTTACCAAGAAAGAAAACGGCCAAAAGTTAGGTATGTGGGAGACACACCCACAAACCACCTCTGGCTCAGCTATATAATTGGAGGCATGGCCTCTCTAGTTCCTGATCGAACTGCTTAATGGCCATGATCCTAGAGAATCAGAAACAAATCTTGGAACCCAAAGGCTTTTGGCAGAAATGCGGCCCGTTCCTGCAGTAGGTTACTGGTGCTGGGCCACTCCAAGTGGGAATAGGTTTCTTGCCTTGGCCCATTCCCCGTGGTGGCCCTGTGACTGCCATCCTCCAGAGTCCACAGGACAGTCAGGTTTGGGCCTGCAGTGATGAGATACGCAGGGCCTCACTAGATGGGGTGGAATTGGCCCTTTCCTCCCCATCCCAACAAGACCCCGAGTTGCCTCCCATGAACGGCCTCTCTGGCTCCTGATCAAGCTGCTTAATGGCCATGATCCGAGAGATTCAGAAACAAATATCGAAACCCAGCGACTTTTGGCAGAAATGCGCCTGTCCCTGCAGTAGATTACTGTCGCCGGGCCACCCCAGAGGGGGAAAGGGTGCTATCCCTCTGCCTGCCTCCCCTTGGTGGTTCGGTGGCCACCATCCTCCAGAGACCATTGGACAGTCTAGTTTGAGCCCTAAGTGATGAGATACATGGAGTCTCATGGAATGGGGGTGGAGACAGCCCTTTCCTCCCCATACCAAAGAGACCTCGAGTCACTGCCCACGAATGGCCTCTCTGGCTCCTGATCAAGCTGCTTAACGGCCATGATCCCAGAGACTCAGAAACAAATCTTGGAACCCAGGGCTTTTGGCAGAAATCCCCCCAGACTTAATTGTTAAAATTTCAGAATTTCAAAATCACGCGGCCACTACTGCAGCTGTGCGACATCATATGTTATTTATAACCAGCAATAGAAAACAAATTGTCTACTGTTGCCTTTTCAGCAGATCTGAGTGTTGGGATAAAATTCCAAATAATAATGGTGGGTCTGGTGTCAAAATATTGAATGTGATCAAAGTAGAGAGAGAGAGTAATGTGGAAATCATTTGCCAACAGGTAGTGGGAGGGTGTGGGATGGTGGTATACTGGGGTTTTTGGTGGTGGATAATGGGCACGGTGAAGGTATGGGTGTTTCATTGTATGACTGAGACTTAAACCTGAAAGCTTTGTAACTACTCTCATGGCGATTCAATAAATAAAATTATAAAAAATGAAAAAAAAAAAGGAAGTTGGAGTTCATGCCCAATTCTATCAGCCTAATCAGTGGCTAAGCAGTACTCCTACATAAAAAAACTTGTTATTGGGGCAGGAGGCAGGGTAGGATGTTTGCCCTGCACGTGGGTGACCTGGGTTCGATTCCCAGCATCCCATATAGTCTCCCGAGCACCACCAGAAATAATTCCTGAGTGCATGAGCCTGGAGTAAACCCCGCACATTGCTGGTTGTGACCCAAAAAAGTCAAAAAAATAAAAATAAAAAAGAACTACTTAAAAAAGTTGTTATTGATCGAGGTACTGTGATTTACAATACTCTTTCACACACACACACACACACACACATATATATATATATATATATATTTCTAACACCACACCTATCACCAGTGTACCCACCACTCTCCTCCAAAGTACCTTTATTTTTAGCATGCCTTTTATTTTTCTATTATATAGGGCAAAATCAAAGGCCCTCCCGTTGATCGTCGATTTGCTCGAGCGGGCCAAGTAATGTCTCCATTGGAGACTTGTTGTTACTGTGTTTGGCATATTGAATACATCACGAGGAGCTTGCCAGGCTCTGCCGTGTGGGCGAGATACTCTCGGTAGCTTGCCGGGCTCTCTGAGAGGGGCGGAGGAATCGAACTCGGGTCGGCCATGTTGGCCGCTTGTAAGGCGAACGCTTACACTGTGCTAGGGCGTTCGCCTTACAAGCGGCCAACATGGCCAACCCGAGTTCGATTCCTCCGCCCCTCTCGGAGAGCCCGGCAAGCTACCGAGAGTATTCGATATGCCAAACACAGTAACAACAAAGTCTCCAATGGAGACGTTACTGGGCCCGCTCGAGCAAATTGACGATCAACGGGAGGGCCTTTATCTTTTTATAGGGCAAAAAGTATAAGTAGGCATAAGTATGAGGCATAAGTATGATTATATTATTTTAGCCAGAATGTAAGTTGCTTTTGATTCAGTTATTCTAGATGGTTTCACACTTTCTAGTAACCTTTTTTAAATCTCCTTCCTTGCTTCAAGTTTTCCCTTTATGCTGTTCCCGCAGGAAGTCTATTTCTGAAGTCCTTCACATAGAAAACTGATACGGTGACTATACCTCACCGTATAGTATTTTCTGTTCTATATTTGAATTTTATGTCATAGGGATGTGATACAATGTACACAGTTCTAAAAAATTATTCATAGAAAGTTTATCAGAAAAATAATTCTGATTACCTTTAATTTCATTTCTCTTTCTGACACCACGAATCGCATGCTAGAAAGTACAGTTGGAGAGAACATGAGTATGAACATCAAAGGGGCAAAAGAGCTCATGACCGCAATTAATCCATCATTAGAAAAGTGTGGGTATGGAAACCTCTGTATAAGGATACTGATATTATCAAACATCTGTCCAGCACTGCTTTCATGATACAGCATGATGGCCTTATCTACGGCATGCTGTACAGCCAGGAACCCTTCTTTGATGTATCCTGCATGATAAAATAAGAATTTTTAAGTAAAGCAGACAAATGTTCAGAGACACAAAAATCAAGTTAATTTAAGTAATTATGCTTGTCACCTATAAACCCTAAATTTATTATTGTAACAAGGCTAACCAAATAGTTACTCTGGGAAACTACCATAGCTTTGACACAGAGGTAAAATGCATTTTTTAGAGGTACATTTTGATGCCTATTTTACACAAATTAATTACCTTTAATAAAAATGGTGGGTTTCCTAAATGCAACTTATAGTTACAAAAAGAATGCATACTTAAACATTAGAGAGATTAAGACCCAGAAATGTAAAAAGAAATTAAATACTGACATGTTGTAGTGAATAATACAAAATGGTCTCTAAGGAAAACTGTTTCAGTGAAACAAAGTCAGCCATAAAGCTAAAAGGCTTCCAGGAGTTTAAGCAGCTTTTCTTCAAGTTTTAAATATTGAAACTCATAATTTTAAGCTTTTCTGTCCTTAGAGGAACTGCAAAAGTCTTCTGAAGCATTGCTTTAGCTGTACCACCTCCCTCCAATTCTTCAAATACTCAGTGAATCTGAATATTTTTTCTTTATTAAATTTAATTTTTCTAATCTTTCTGAGACTTCCTTGATACATGAATTAGAAATACGTTGCTTGATGAAATATCTAAAGTAATTTTAGACACTATCATGGATACAGTTAGTGCTAAAGCTTATGGTATTTGTGTATAAAGCACTCTGTTACCACCAAACTATCTAAGACTACACCTATGTCACCTCTAGCAGAAATTGAAACTGTCCTTATGTTGCATCTAGTCCATTTATTCCTCCCACTCTTACCCTGATGGTTTAGTAATCTCTTTGTAATCCAAGGTCAAGGGTTTGCCTTTGTTCGATACAATCTATTCCTTTGTTTTTAAAAATGTCTCTGTGCCACACTTGCGTGAGATATCTGTATTTGTCCTTCTCTCTCTCATTTATTTTGCTTACCATGATACCCTCCACTTCCATCTGCGCTGCAGTCAACTTCATGACTTGTTTTATGCTTGCATAGTAGTTCACTGCTTATAAGTAGCATGTTTTCTTTATTTGTTCAACTGACATTTTCTTTATTCATTCAAATGTCATTGGAAATTTGTGTTATTCCCATAGCCTGGCTTTTGTATTCTATTGTTCTAAGTGTACAGGGGTGTGCATATAATGTTTTTGAATTACTTTTTTGTTTGTTTTGGGGGCACATGCCCAAAAGTATATTCACTGGTATCTACTATGAGATATGAAAGCTCAAGTCTTATTTATTTATTTATTTATTTTTGGGTCACACCCAGCGATGCACAGGGGTTAATCCTGGCTCTGCACTTAGGAATTATTCCTGGCAGTGCTCAGGGGACCATATGGGATGCTGGGAATCGAACCCAGGTTGGCTGCATGCAAGACAAATGCCCTATCCGCTGTGCTATCCCTCCAGCCCCAAGTCTTACTTTTTTTGAGGAATACCTGTAGTGCTTCCCAGAAAGGCTGAACCAGATGACATTTCCATGAACAGTGAACGAACAATTCTTTTTTCATCACATCTCCTAACAACATGGGTTGCTTCCAGTTTTTTTTTTTATGTGCCATTATAACTGGTGTGAGAGGGCATCCCACTGTCATTTTGATTTGCATTTCCTTGGTAATAAGTCACAAAGAACAATTTTTCATATGTCTGTTGGTCACCCAAATGTCTTCTTCAGGGAAGAGTTCATTCATCTCCTTTCTCCATTTTGATCTGATTATTGGATGTTTTATTATTGAGATTTGTGAGTGCTTTATATATCTTGGACATATATAAATATCTGATGATGGTATGTAAATATTTGATCCCATTCAGTAGTGTGTCTTATTTTAGGCTGAGCTTCCTTTCATATAAAAACCTTTTCATTTTTTTTTTTTTGCTTTTTGGGTCACACCCGGCGATGCACAGGGGTTACTCCTGGTTCTGCACTCAGGAGTTACTCCTGGCGGTGCTCAGGGGACCATATGGGATGCTGAGAATCGAACCTGGGTCGGCTGCGTGCAAGGTAAATGCCCTACCCGCTGTGCTATCTCTCCAGCCCCAAAAACCTTTTCATTTTAATCAATTTTTTGGACTACACCTGACAGTGCTCAAGGCTTACTCCAGATTCTGTGCTCTCATTTCTCGTGGGGCTTGGGGGACCATATGCAGTGCTGGGGTTCGAACCTACATTAGCCACATGCAAGATAAGCATCTTACCAAATGTACTATCTCTGTTTCTAAAAACTTATTATTTTATTCATATTTTTGTGTATTTTTCTTCAAAATTGCAGTGCTGGTGTAGAGGCAACAAATGTCTTAGCTGTTGCTTGTCTGGGAATATTTATATAACCCCCTCCAGTCTGAGAGATAATTTCAATGGGTAGAGGAATCCTGGTGGTAAGATACACAGAATTGTTAGAAGTTTGAAGGGTGGGGCCTGAATGGCAAAGCTGAGGATCTTAACCGCCAAGAGCACAGATAAGACTGGGAGTCTGTTGGGCTGGCAGTTTAAGCTGTTACCCCCTGATAACTGGAACTGAGGGTGGGACTTGGTTGGGTGGTCCTCACTTCCTAAATGGCTGTTCCAAGCTGGGGCCAGTGTGGTTGCACCATCATTTGTCTAACTTAAGAAGTTCTAATATTCTGCAACTCCTGAGAACCGATAGACAAACTAGTGCTGTGAAAAGTCTAATTGCTTAGTAAAATCTGTTGGGGAGTGCGGCGGGACAGGGCAGTGTCAGCTTAGGAGGCATGCCCGTTGGTGGAGCTGAGACTGCATTGCTATGGGGGGTGGGTCACTTTAGGAACTGCTGCTCTCTTCTTGCACACAGTGCTACTGTGACTCAAGTCTTTTCAACTTAGCAAGTGCCAAAACTGATGTTCTGTTTTTCATTCTTTTGAGTGTAGGAGTATTGCTATTTATTCAGCCATTGATTAGGTTGATTGAATTGGGCATGAACTCCACCTTACTTTTTTTTTCCTTTTTATAAATTTTTTATTGAATCACCGTAAGAGCAGTTACAAAGCTTTTGGGTTTAAGTCTCAGTCATACAATGATGAAACACCCAGTGCCCATTCACCAGTGCCCATTCTCCACCACCAAAAATCCCAGTATACCCCCTACCCCAAACCCTCCCCCTACCTATGGGGCAGATGATTTTCACATTACTCTCTCTCTACTTTGATTACATTCAATATTTCGACACCAGATCCACCATTATTATTTGGGATTTTACCCCAACACTCAGATCTGCCGAAAAGGCAACCGTAGACAATTTGTTTTCTATTGCTGATTATAAATTACACATGATGTTGCGTGGCCACAGTAGTGGCCATGTGTTTTGGAATTCCGAAATTTTAACAATTAAATCTGGAGGGATTTCTGCCCAAACTTGCTGGGTTCCGAGATTTGTTCCTGAGTCTCTGGGATCATGGCTTTTAAGCAGCTTTATCAGGAGCCAGAGAGGCTGTTTGTGGTTTATTTTTTTTGGAGATCAGTTCCCTCATGTCCTACGTTAGTGTTAGTACTGGATTTGAAACCCTTTTCTTTCCATCTCTGCTTCTCCCCTCCTACCACCCAGGAATGCTCTCCTTGGTTCTGCCTTAGAGTCGAGTCTCCCTAAGGTGATGGATGTTTTCTCCAGTGAATTTTCACAGCAAGACCCCTTATGGAATACCGTGCTTCATTCCATTTTTATGCATTCATTCTGTTCCTTTTGACCACCTTGGTCTCATCCTTCCCTATCTTGCTATTGTTTTTTTTTTTCATCTCTAAGTCAATACCATTGCTATAAAAACTTTTTTATACGAACTTTTTCCAAAACATTGAAAGTAGAACTATCACAGGCAATCTCAAAATTTTAACAAAGGCTTTTTCTCTATCACGGCCAAACCTGGTTCAATCCCTGGCACCTCATGGCCCCTCAAACATTACTAAATGCAGCTCGTTAAGGCCCCTGAATATTGCTGGATTGACCCAGAGTATTCAGCACTGCAGGGCTTGTGCAGCACCACTTTTACAGGTCCTACATAGAACTGCTGGCCAACCTACCTGAGAGTTTTCAGAAGTGGCCCTTAGGCCTCTTGAGCACTACTTGGGAATATGTGTAAAACAATGTGTTTCTGTGTGTCTATTAGTACACAATGATGTCAATGAAATAATATGCCCAAGCATTTGCTCACCAGGATTTCCTCCATCGCTAAACTGTGGGTTCCTGGGTCCTGCAACAGGACGAACAGGAAAGAGCAAAGACGTTGCCCAGTCTACCATCTCTAATGAGGAAATATTCCACTGTGTCCTGAAAAAACGCAGATAATATTTTACCTAAAGAGAAAAATAGAAAACAAGCTATTTTTATTTTTTAATTTATTTTTATCTTTTACTTAGGCACCATGATTTACAAAGCTGTCAAAAATAGTTTCAGGCAAATAATGTCCAACTCAAATCCCATGGCCTGTGTCAGTATTCTTCCATTAGTGTCTCCAGGCTCCCTTCCACCCCTCCGCCCACCTCTCTAACAGGTACATTTCTATGTTTAATTATTGTAGTTTGGGTCATATGCAGTTGAGATGCACACAGGTGTCTTGCCTCTACACCAATGATGTGTCCAAGGTTACTGACCCTTGTCTCCATGATCTCCCCAGACAATCTCTTACTCCCCTACAATATTTCTCTTCTTCCCTGGCCTTTCTTTTTCTTTTTCTTTCTTTGTTCTTTCTTTCTTTTTTTATTTTATTTATTTAGTTTTGCTTTGAGAGAGAGAGAAAGAGAGAGAGAGAGAGAAAGAGAGAGAGAGAGAGAGAAAGAGAGGGAGAGAGACCGCCAAGCTACCGAGAGTATCTCACCCGCACAGGCAGAGCCTGGCAAGCTCCCCGCTATAACAGGTCTCATCCCCCTGAACCTGAAAGAGCCTGCAATCGTTGGTAAGGATGAGTAAGAAGAGGCTACTAAAATCTCAGAGCTGGGAGGAATAGAGATATTACTGGTGCCTGCTCGAGTACATCGATGAATAACGGGATGACAGTGACACTGACAGTGATTTTTTGCTTTTTGGGTCACATCCAGTGATGCACAGGGGTTACTCCCGGCTCTGCACTCAGGAATTACTCCTGGTGGTGCTCGGGGGATCATATGAGATGCTGGGAATCGAACCCAGGTCAGTTGAGTGCAAGGCAAACACCCTACCCCCTGTGCTATCGCTCCGCCCCTCCCTGGCCTTTCTGTTTTTGTAATTTGAGCCTAGGATTAGGTCACTTTTGGTACCTTACATTTTTTTGTCATGTTATACTATAATGAAGAGCAAATGTTAGAAATATGGAAAAGTTGTCTAAGAGGAAACTCATCTGTTGCAATACGTGTGTCATCAAGGTGATGCTGAATGCCTGGAAATGACGTGCCAGGCAAAAAAATTGCTCCAATCATAGCTATACTTGAAAATCACTGAAACATCCTGTTTGTCAGTTTCAACACCGTGGTAATAATGCCACCTGCTAGAAATTCCAAGGTACATTTCCTTGTACTCTACTGAGTTTTCCAGACATTTCCCCATTGGCCAATATTATGACAGGATCAGCTCTCACTATTATTATTATTGCTATAATAAGATTATTATAGGGCTGGAGCGATAGCACAGCGGTAGGGCGTTTGCCTTACAAGTGGCCAACATGGCCGATCTGAGTTCGATTCCTCCGCCCCTCTCGGAGAGCCCGGCAAGCTACCGAGAGTATCTCACCCGCATGGCAGAGCCTGGCAAGCTACCGGTGACATACTCGATATGCCAAACACAGTAACAGGAAGTCTCATCATGGAGACGTTACTGGGCCCGCTCGAGCAAATCGATGAACAACGGGAGGACCATGACCGTGAAGATTATTATAAGATACTCATTAGTAAAAAGATCATCAGAAATTTTTTTTTTTTTTTTGCTTTTTGGGTCACACCTGGCGATGCACAGGGGTTACTCCTGGCTCTGCACTCAGGAATTACTCCTGGCGGTGCTCAGGGGACTATATGGGATGCTGGGAATCGAATCCGCGTCGGCTGTGTGCAAGGCAAACGCCCTACCCGCTGTGCTATTGCTCCAGCCCCTCATCAGAAAAATTTAAAAAAACAGATGCATATTGTAATTTTATAAGACCTAGAAATTACAAAGCATACATGGGGCATAGTAAAGCAGAGAAAGGAAAGAGAATAAACTCATGGGTCTGGATTTATATTTTTACTGAAGTTACATGGAGTCATTCTTTACTTATGGATGGAAATTTCCTATGAAGTGAAAATTTATGAGTGGAAAGAGAGAAAAAGAAAAAAATTATATTATGATGTGCCACAAACTTAGAGTAGCTAAGTCAACTAGAATCTGTAAAACTCTGGAATCATACGTGGGGAGGAAGCATAGCTAAAGTCATGTGGTTGGCAATATGTTCAAAATAGTGTTTTGGCATCAAAACTTATCAGCACTTGGTTTCCAAAAAAATCAACAAATTTTAGGTTTCATATTACACAAATCAAGCAGCAAGTTGAACACTAGTTTCTCAGAACTTATGTATTTTAAATATTCTCACAACACACAAAAATGGCAATTCTGTGAGGTAATTAATGTAGAAATTAATTAAATACATTAAAATTAGCGTGGTAACCAGTTTGGATTATACATGTTTTACATTATCCATATTAAATTTCCAAGAAATTATATGTTGATTATTTCTCAATAAAACTGGGGGAAAAAAATCAGACCAAGCAACTTACCACTCAACTTTAAAGATTTTGGTGTAAGAAGCAGAGTTAAAATATTTGCGGACACAAACAGCATTAATCAATAATGAGAATAAAACTTGAAATTGAAGACATTTCAAGATAAAGTATATTGCTGAGTGTAAATTACCAGCATATGGATTATTCTGAGTTAATGAACTCAAAGAAATTGGAGCACAAAATGGAGTCATGAAAGAATGGCATACTTAGAAAATGTCTAATATCTTATTAGTGATTTAATTAATGTTTTCTACTGAGAAGCATTTGTGTAACAGACTCAGTATTTGGCTTCAGGTCTAGATTTCATAGATTGACCATTTATTTCATCACCACCTGGAGAGAATGTTTTTAAGTGCTGCTAAAAAAACAAAAAGTTCAAAGTACTGTCTTTCTCCTCAGTGATCACAGATGTCCCAGTTCTAAATCAATTCGGCTGAGAATTAAGAGGTTTTTTTGTTTGTCTGTTTGTTTGCTTTTGCTTTTTGGGTCACATGTGGTGATGCTCAGGAGTTACTCCTGACTCTGCACTCAGGAATCACTCCTGGCGGTGCTCAGGGGACCAAATGGGAATCGAACCCGCGTTGGCTGCGTGCAAGGCAAATGCTCTACTGCTGTGCTATTGCTCCAGCCCCTTAAGAGTTTTCTTTAAAGATTTATAAAACGACTTAAATTCTGTGCTTTGTTCAAAGAAAGAATAATATCTTACAATTTTTCTTGAGTACAGTAAGTTAGTAAAAATGTAGATGCTTCTATAAGTTTATTTCGCCATCTTTTGACAAATTTTTTTTGGGCAGTTTTCTGTGAATCAAAGGCCTTGCATATGGAAGATAGTGTTTTTCCCTTATCAGAATAAAGAGAAGGAATACAGACATGATTTCTCAGATCCGGATTCATTCTTGTATTTTGTACAAGTAAAAAGTAAAAAGTAGTTTCTTCAGAAAATAAGGTAAAAATTTCATATGCATTAAAAATCCTGCAAGTGAGAAGCGTGATTATAAGAAACATATTAACTTGTAAAACGCAAAATAAAAATTTCTCACCTGAAGTGGTAGAGGGTCACTGTTGTTTTTGAAGTCAAAGTCAAACACAACCGCAGCCAAAATTTTTTTGGACATATTGTCATACTTAATGTAGTTATCAAGCTCAAGTTCTGAAGAAAAGCCACGAACTGTGTAGACAGGAAAATATTTTTTACTTAAATAAAAATGACTGATGATCACTCCTGAGAGTTAAGTTACTATTTTTACATGAACAGAAGTCTATCTAAATATTATGTGTTAAAATTTAGCACAGTGGGTAGGGCGTCTGCCTTGCAAGCAGCCAACATGGCCAACCCGAGTTTGATTCCTCTGCCCCTCTCGGAGAGCATGACAAGCTACTGAGAGTATCTCGCTCGCGCAGCAAAGCCTGGCAAGCTACCCATGACGTATTCAAGATGCCAAACACAGTAACAAGAAGTCTCAAAATGGAGATGTCTGGGCCCACTCGAGCAAATCGATGGACAACGGGAGGACAGTGGACAGTGGACAGTGATTCATAAATGAAAAATCAAAATCACAATGAGATACTACTCCAAGCTCACCAAAAAGGCTGTTATAAAAGATACAGGTTATACTAGGTAAGGAGTTGGAAGTTGGAATCTTCATGCTGATTAGAATGCAAAATGGTATGGCAGTGTTTCAAAAGTTAAACAGAGTTAGCATATGACATATTCATTCTATTCCAAGATATATAGTTTAGGGAAATAAAACTACACATCACATAAAATATGAGGAAAATTTTTTATAGTCAAAAGGTGGATATGATTCAAATATTTATCAACTGTAAAGGCTACACTATCTGAAGGTAGCACATCCACACAATTGGTTATCAGTAGAAAGAAATAAAATGTTCCTGTATGCTAAAAAGTTGATGAACCTTAAAAATATTATCCTATGGGGGTATGGTGCCGCCAGCAGGTCAGTTTGTACCTGTGAGGCGAGCAGCCTGATGGAACCATCAGGCTTTCAGATACCCCAAAATTGCTGCTGTGCCTTTGGCCAGACCCCAAAAACTTGGGGCAAAGTTTACCAAGAAAGTAAACAGCCAAAAGTTAGGTATGTGAGAGACACACCCACAAACAACCTCCAGTTCAGCTATATAATTGGAGGCATGGCTTCTCTGGTTCCTGATCAAACTGTTTAACGGACATGATCCCAGAGACTCAGAAATGAATCTTGGAACCCAAAGGCTTTTGTCAGAAATGTATCCTGTTCCTGCAGCAGATTACTGGCGCTGGGCCACTCCAGGTGGGAATAGGTTTCATGCCTTGGCTTGTTCCCCTTAACGGCCCACCATCCTCCAGAGTCCACTGGACAGTCAGGTCTGGGCCTGCAGTGATGAGATACACGGGGCCTCACCAGATTGGGGTGGAACCAGTCCTTTCCTCCCCATACCAGCGAGACTCTGAGTCGCCACCTACAAATGGCCTCTCTGACTCCTGATCAAGCTAATTAACGGCCACGATCCCAGAGGCTCAGAAACAAATCTCGAAACCCAGCGGCTTTTGGCAGAAACACATCTGGTCCACATACAAGGTGGCCGCCACCTCAGAGCTTCTTGGAAAGCCAGGTATGAACCGGTGGTGACAGGGCAACTGCAGTCTCATGGGAATGGGGAGAGTACTGGCTCGTCCTTCACGCCCAACTGAGGTCACACGAGTCCCCTCCCCCCCCTCCCCCCCCCCCCCCCCCACGAGCGGCTCTTCGGTACAGCCATGGCTCCAGAGGCAAAAGGACTTAATCCAGAGCCCGGCAGCTTGTGGCAGAAAAGTGAATGGACCATGCGTTAAACTACGGTGCCATGCCTCCCTGGGAGGGAAGGGGCATTGCTCCCTTCCACCATCCCCCCCACCCCCCAGCAGCAAGGTGGCCACCGCCTCAGAGTTTATTGGAAATCCAGGTATGAGCCAGCAGTGAGGGGGCAACTGCAGTCTCATGGGAAGGGGGGCAGTACTGGCTGGTCCTTCATGCCCTACCGAGGTCACGAGTTGTCCCCCAACAAGCGGCTCTCTGGCACGGCCATGGATCCAGAGGTAAAAGGACTTACTCCAGAGCCTAGCAGCTTGCGGCAGAAAAGTGAATGGACCATGCATTAAACCATGGCCCCATGCCTCCCCGGGAGGGAAAGGCTGTTGCTCCCTTCTGCCTTTCCCTCCCACCCCCAGTAGCAAGGTGGCCACAGCCTCAGAGCTTATAAGAAAGCCAGGTATGAGCCAGCGTTGATGGGGCAACTGCAGTCTCATGGAAAGGGGGCCGGTACCGACTCATCCTTTGCACCCTACCGAGGTCACGAGTTGCCCTCCACAAGCGGCTCTCCGGCACAGCCATAACACCAGACGCACAGAAACCAATCTCGTAATTATCTGGCTCTTTGCAGAAATCCAATATCGCAAGGCCACTATTGTGGCCATGCGAGATTATATGATTCTCATAACCAGCTATAGAAAATGAAGTATTTCACAATGCCTTTTCAGCAATTCTGATTGTTGGGGGTAAATTCTAAACAATAATGGTGCATCTTTTGTTGAAATAATGAATGTAATCAATGTAGAGAATAGTTAAGTGAAATCATCTACCTCACAGGCATTGGGAGGAGTAGGGGGGGAATATTGGGGTTCTTGGTGGTGAAAAATGAGTATTGGTGAAAGGAGAATTGTTTGATCATTGTGTGACCGAGACTTAAACCTGAAAGCTTAGTAACTTTTCCCACAGTGATTCAATAAAAAAATAAGAAGAAAAAATAATAGATAAATAAAATTATGAAAAAAAAGTAAGATGGAGTTCATGCCCAATTTAATCAGCTAATCAGTGGCTGAATAAATAGCAGAACTCCTACATGAAAAAATATTATCCTAAACAAAAGAAGTCTATCACAAAAGACCATATGTGGCATTATTAGAATTTAAAGAAAACCTATAAAAAACTATTGATAGAAAGGTTTATAATAGGCAGATGTATAGATACAGAAAGTATATTAGTGTTTTCAAAAGAAGACATAGAACTTCAAAAGCAATAATCATAGTAAATATTTGTTTTGTTTGGGGGGCATACTGGGCCTATTCAGGGCTTATTCTTGCTATTTGCTTAGTGATCACTTCTGGTGAGACACGGGGGGACCATATGGGGTGCCAGAGACTGAATTCATAAGGCAAGCACCCTATCTACTTTGCTATCTCTGCAGCTCCCCACCATGGTAAATATTTAAATAGCACTGTCCTCCTGTTGTACACCGATTTGCTCAAGTGGGCACCAGTAACGTCTGCTTAGTGAGACTTGTTGTTACTGTTTTTGGCATATCAAGTACGCCATGGGGACCTTGCCAGGCTCAGCCATGCGGGCAGGATACTCTTGGTAGCTTGCTGGGCTCTCTGAAAGGGAAGAGGAATTGAACCTGGGCCGGCTGCGTGCAAGGCAAACGCCCTACCTGCTATGCTCCAGTCAAATATTTAAATAAACAGTTTTTATTTAGTTAGAACGTAACATTTCACATTTATATAAATTGTTATATATGTATGATGCCAGGTGGTCCCATCAACGGCCAAGACCCAGAGACTATAAAATCCAGCTCCCGGAAGAGAACAGCACAGAGTCTCCTGCCCCTGCACCTGGCTGTCCTCACAGGGGCCCCTTGGAGGGGGGTGGGTTGAGTTTTCCTCCCCACCCAGAGCAGAGCCCCGGCAGCCGAAGACCTCCAGCTACAGCCATGCTGAGACCACTCTCCACACATCCAGACAAACCTCACACTTGAAGGAACCGGTAGAGGAACCCAGGCATGCAGGTCCCGGGGCTTAGATCTCTGAGCCTGCTCGGACCGGGTCTGGACCTTCTCCACCCAGATTCCTCATCTTCCAGTAGGTAGGCATTACACCCACCAGCTGTTGCCGGCGCCAGGTGATGCCATCAACGGCCAAGACCCAGAGACTATAAAATCCAGCTCCTGGAAGCGCGCGGCCACATGCGACATCTTATTATCTTGTTTTTACTTTGGAAAACCTGGCAGGCTACCGAAAGTATCCTGCCTGCATGGCAGAGTCTGGCAAACTTCCTGTGTCATACTCAATATGCCAAATACCAGTAACAATGATAGGTCTCATTCTCCTAGCCCTGAAAGAGCATTGAATATGGCTCTTTTAAAATCTCAGGGCTAGGAAGAAGGAGACTTTACTGGTGCCTGCTTGAGGCAAGAGATGAACAACAGGATGATCATGATCGTATGATTATATATATATATATATATATATATATATATATATATAAAACGGTCACGGTCACGGTCCTCCCGTTGTTCATCGATTTGCTCGAGCGGGCCCAGTAACATCTCCATTGGAGACTTTTTTGTTACTGTGTTTGGCATATGAATACATCATGGGTAGCTTGCCAGGCTCTGCCGTGTGGGCGAGATACTCTCGGTAGCTTGCCGGGCTCTCCGAGAGGGGTGGAGGAATCGAACTCGGGTCAGCCATGTTGGCTGCGTGCAAGGCAAATGCCCTACTGCTGTGCTATCACTCCAGCGATATATAACATTTTCTGGGAAAGTTGTGCACTGATGTAGAAATAAAACTACAATACAAAGATGGAAATATGATAAAGTTTGGGAACCAGAGTGATGATATAGTGGGTAGGGTGCTTGCCTTGCATGCAGCTGACCCAGGTTCAATCCCAGGCACCCCGTATGGTCTTCTCAGCCTGCCAGAAGTGATTCTTGAGTACAGAGCCAGGAGTAATCCCTGAATGCTGCTGGGTGTGGTATCCCCCCAAATAGTAAAAATTCCTACATACCAGAAAATATCTTAAATTACATTGTAGTAGCAAAGTATTCTAAGTGGACTGTGGAGAAAATAATTACAAATTATTCTTTTTTTGCAGTACCAAAGATCAAACCTACCACCTCTTATGTTCAAAGTATATACTCTTCTCTCTCTCTTTCTCTTTTTTTCTCTCTCTCTCCTCCCCCAAATATATATATTGGAGGAGGGCAACACGTAGCTGTGCTCAGGGCTTACTCCTGACACTGCTCTTGCAGGAGTGACTGTATGTAGTAAAAGGGATTGAACCCAGGTTGACCACATGCAAGGCAAGTGCTGTCCCCACTGTATTCTCTCTAGCCTTGGATATATCTATGTGTGTATAAAGGTACTGTACAATCTTTCCAGCCCTAATATATAATGTAGTCAAAAGGTGAAAAAGATCCAAATGTTTATATATACTAAGTCCAATTTGTCAATTTTTCAATTCCATGGATGATGCTTTTACTGTCATGTTTAAAGAATTCAACTAATCTAAGTTATACACATTTTTCTATGTCCTCTCCTAATTTAAAAAGTAATGCTACCTCTATATCTGTGATACATTTTAATGTAACTTTTGCATAAGGTATGAGGTTTCATTTTTCAGTTACTGATGTCCAAATATTCATCATTGTTTATTGAAAGAATACCATTGTAGAAAATTTATATTTCTGTGAGTCACTTTGGGTTTCCTATGATGTTTCGGATATCTATCACCAACAGCATGCTGTTTCTACAGCAATTATATTGTAAATCAAGGGTTGTGATACTTTCAACATCAGTTTTTAAAAGTTTTGAGCCACTCCCAGCAATTCTTGTGGATTACTCGCAACACGGTGCTCAGGGATCACTCTTAGTAGTGCATGGGGGGCTACGCGCTGCTGAAACTCAAAGACAGGGCTCCCACAGGCAAAGAATGTATAGCCCCTTAAGTCATCTCCCCAGCCCCCAACTTAGTTTTTTTCACCTTGTTTCAGTTCCTCAAAAATATTCAATAAGTACTATAGAAAACCTTAATTTCTAACCTTTATTACTCATGTTTAGATTGCTCTTCACATTTTCAATGATATCTTCCAGCACATCAATATCAGAAGGTACATAAACCAGTTCCCACTCTTCAGAATTTTTGAGAAAATGTGGCAGGGTACTGATGTTGTGAGGACTAAAACTTTGAGGGTTATTAGCATGCACATTAATAATTACACGGAATAGCAAAAGTGTTGTTGGAAATAGCAACGCTGTTAGGATGTCCAATATTAAATCAGAAAAATGCCTCGTCTAAAAACGGAACAAAAAGATAGTTTTCATTAATTTGAAATATATTCAATGCAAATGATAGTCTCTCTTTTTTTAAATGTAGGAGTACTGATATTTATTCACAAATGATAATCTCTGACACTAAGTTTTTGTAAATTTTATTACAGAATTCCAGTATTTTCTGAATTATATCATATTACACTTTGTTCCTCCCCTCTCAACAATTAAAATTTATTTTTGTTTTTTGTGATGCCACAGATCAAACCCAGAACTGTTGCATACAAAGCATAAAACATTACCACTGAGTCACATCCCTGACCCTTCTCTGAACTTTCTCATATCATAATATTGAAAAACTTAAGTTTTATGATATACAAGGGCTACCTATAGTCATAAAATTAGATTTTCAATATCCAAATATACAAATAATCTGAAGTACAATATGAGCCCTTAAGGACATTTCTATAGATGCTTGTACCTACCTTTAAGGTGAAATTTTTCCAGAGGAGCAGTGAAAATTGGCAGAGAATCAATAAACCCATTCTTCTATAGAGTGTTCAACTATAAGAATAGAAGAAAGGCTTTTCAATGTTATGTTACCAAAAAAATAGAGGAAATGTCAAGATAATGATATTCTAATCTTCCCCTCATCAACTTCAAAGATATATATATATATATACTAGAAATAGTGAAAATTCTTATCTATAAAATTGGTTACTACCCAGTGAAGTTCTAACAGTTAGTTTAAAATACCAGGAAGGGGCCAGAGCCACAGTACAGTGTGTAGGGTGTTTGCCTTGAATGCCATTGACTCGAGTTCTATCCTGGTCATCCCATATGGTTCCCCGAGCACCATCAAGAGTAATTCCTTATTGTAGAGCCAGGAGTAACCCTGAGCATCTCTAGGTGTGACCCAAAAAAGATGGAAAAAAACAAAAACAAAAACCAACACAAGGGAAAAGCTTGCTTTTGTAGCCCATGTTATTTCTTGAACATGTATTTTGCTTGCTTATCTCTGTCTTCTTGCTTGCTTGCTCTTTTGAGCTGATATTCTTTTCCTTCTCTCCCCTCATATTTTTCTAAGTATGTTTTGCTCAAGAAAAAGTATCTCGCTTCACACTAACACAAAAACCCAAAAGGGAAATAAAAAATATCAGTAAAACATTTTGTAAAATCAGTAAGATTATTCCAGAAGACATAAAACCAACAAGTTATATTTTTTCTATTAGTTTCCAGGACCAGATATATACGCATAGAAATTACATCAAACATTAAAAGTAGAATTAAATGCATGCTGAAAGTAGACTATAGACCGAACACGATGGCCACTCAATACTTCTACTGCAAACCACAACACCCTAAAGGAAAGAGAGAGCAAAAGGGAATGCCCTGCCACAAAGGCGGGGTGGGGGTGGGGTGGGTTGGGGTGGGGGGTGGGAGGGATACTGGGATCATTGGTGGTGGAAAATGGGCACTGGTGGAAGGATGGGTACTCGATCATTGTATAACTGAAACCCAAGCACGAAAGTTTGTAAGTCTACAACTGTACCCCATGGGGTTTCAATAAAAAAAATTAAATTAAAAAAGTAGAATTAACACTAATACTTCTCAAATTTCCACAGAAATTGAAGTGGGGACACTTCCAAATTCATTTTAGGAAGCCATTATTATCTTGATGAAACTTTTAGTAAGAGACTTATAAAAAACAAAGAGAGAGAAAAGAAAAGAAAGAACACTAAAATCACTTTTTCCTGAAAAACGAGATGAAAATCTTCTTAAAACATGCAAGCAAACGGAATTCAACAGCACATATATCAATAGGATCATGCATTGTTATGAAGTACAATGATAGACTTTGGTGTATTAAATCAAAATAATAAAAGTGGTATACATCAAAAGAATAAGGGGCAAAAATTATTCAGATCATTTCAGTAGATGAAAAAGAGCATCTGCCAAATTTGACACCTTTTAAAAACATTACACAGATTTTTTTATATGAATATATAGCACTGTAGCACTGTCCTCGTGTTGTTCATTGATTTGCTCGAGTGGGCACCAGTAACGTATCCATTGTGAGACTTCTTGTTACTGTTTTTGGCATATTGAATATGCCCCGGGGAGCTTGCCAGGCTTTGCTGTGCAGGTGGGATACTCTTGGTAGCTTGCCAGGCTCTCCGAGAGGGACGGAGGAATCAAACCCAGGACGGCCTCATGCAAGACAAACAACCTACCCGCTGTGCTATCACTCCAGCCCATATATATATGTATGTAACTTCAACATAACAAAGGCCGTAGAGAGACCCAGAAATAGTACAGCACTTATAATCCCTGACTCCCCATGGTGCCCTGAGAGCTACCAGGTGTAAACCCTGGAGGCCCCTAAGCTCTGCAGGCATGGCACAGGTAATCCCTAACACTGTAGGGCCAAACAGCCTGGCACCCTTGGGCCCTTGTACTGAACTAATGGCTGGCAGCTAACACCGGCCACTCATAAACGTGGGCTGTCATCAAGGCCAATTTCAATATGAATCCTTGACCTCTGCCCAAACCTTGGTGGAGAACCAGATATAAATAGGAGAGAGAAAACTCATCCTCATCGACCAAGAAAAAAAGCCTGGGGGGGGGGGGGGCAGAGAGATAGTACAGCAGATAGGGCGCTTGTCTTGCATGCAGCTGACCTGAGTTTGATCCCCAGCATCCTGTATGGTCCCCCAAACATCACTGGGAATAATTCTTAAGTGCAGAACCAGGAATAAATCCTGTAGCTCCAAAAGAAATAAAGATGAAAAAAAGAGAAAAAACTATCTTTCACAACGAAGACAAGCAGATGGCAAGAAGTATATGAAAAATGTTCCATATCACTTATAAGAGGGATGCACATTAAAACAACAAGGAGAGGTGATCTCACACCAGCAAGATGGGCACCCATCACAAAGAACCAAAGCAACCGATGTTGGCATGTATGTGGGGACAAAGCGACCCTCATTCACTGTTGGTGGGAATTTCAATGGGTCCAATCATTTTGGAAAACCATATGGACACTTACAAAAAAAGAAAGAAAGAAAGAAAGAAGAAAGAAAGAAAGAAAGAAAGAAAGAAAGAAAGAAAGAAAGAAAGAAAGAAAGAAAGACCACCAACCTAGAATTGAGCTTGTGTATGACACAGCAGTCCCTCCGGGCGGTCCCGACCACTCACCGTTCAGGGCAAGACACCGCGCGGGGCACCTCTGAGTCACGTGTCCGCACAGGCGGTCCCTAACCGCTCCCCAGGGGCAGGTACCTCGCGCCTCCGCCTGTGCTCGGTGCGCATGCGCGGCTCCTCCCCAGCACATGCGCCTTCTCCCCCCTGCGCATCTCGGCTCCCGTCACCGCGCTGCCAGTTTCAACCTTTCCCTTACCTAGTCCCCTTCGCCCTTCTTGGAGCTCTTCATCCCTCTCCTGGAGCCCGATGGACTCACCCATCACCCTTGACCCCCTCAGAACCTGGGGCCAAACCCCCTCACCCTTGCAAGCTGCGGAAGATCCCCAGAGCCTAAAGATTCTTCCGGGGGTCCCTCTGCTTGCCTGGGTTCTTAGCCAACCTCCCACACCTTCCCCGGGCTCTCCCCTCTTCCTATCCGGGTCTTGGTCATTCATCGGGCCAGTCCCAGGAAGGTCCAGGAGGCCTCAGGGACTCCCCAGCTTGGTTGGGGGTCAGTAACTTCTGAATGCTGCACTCCACCCCACCCCTTATACCCTCCAACTGAGGGTTACAAACCATGCACAGGGCTGGTAGCCAAAGTGTTCCATGCCTCAAGGTGCAGAGCCCCTCTCCTCCTTGGACCCTCTTCCACTCTTCTTCATGTTCTGCCTAGACTCTGCCCCTGCTACACAGTGCATGGGAACTGCCCCTTCAAGCGCTGCCTTAACTGGACACCATGTACTGTCTCTCTTCCCCAGAATAGTTTGTGATGCTCCCCTGGTCCTCTGTGTTGCTGCTCTCGGCCGTTTCCAGTCCAATATTGTTTAATGGCTAGAATCGCAGGCTGTGAATTGTCCAAGCGCAAACCTTCCTACCCCTGCCTTCCTATCCCGGGTATTGATGTATGCATTACCTTCTCAGTGCCCGGAGGGGCTCTGTTGGGAGGCGCACACACAGAAGGGCAAAGGCTTTCTCTTCCCACTGTTCTTTTTTTTTTTTAAAGATTTTTTTTTGGTTTTATGATTATTTGGCTTTTTTTTTTTAGGGTTACACCCAGCGATGCTCAGGGGTTACTTCTGGCTCTGCACTCAGGAATCACTCCTGGTAGTACTTGGGGGACCATATGGGATGCCAGGGATCGAACCCTGGTGGGTCACGTGAACCGTCCTACCCACTGAATTATCGCTCCAGCCCCTTGCTGCTTTTTTTCTTTTTAACATTCTTCTTGCTCTTGCTGTTGCCAGCACCCACCCCAGTGATTCACACAGTGTCCCCATCCTCGCCTGCTTTCCATTCCGCCAACACCTCCAGGAACTGTTTCCTGCTTGCTGGGCCTAGCACCAGTTTCCCGGTGTTCTGAGAGTATTGTCTGCTTGCTCCACAGCAGTGGAATAGCCCTGGCTCAGGACCAACAAACTTTTCATCTAGTGTGTGACAACTACTCCTTCTTCGAGAAGGTTTCAGTCTAAGAGGTGCTCTTCAAATTTTTCTTGTCTGGGTGATTCCCCTCAGCCATAGGGCTTGTTTTATTTTTATTATTATTTTAATTTTTATTAGTGAAACACCATGTGGTACAGTTGTAGATTTACAAATTTTTGTGCTTGGGTTTCAATTATACAATGATCAAACACCCATCCCTCCACCAGTGCCCATTTTCCACCACCACGGGTCCGAGTATCCTTCCCACCCCTCATCCCCCCATCCCACCCTGCCTCTGTGGCAGGGCATTCCCTTTTGTTCTCTCTCTCCTTTTGGGTGTTGTGGTTTGCAATAGAGGTATTGAGTGACCATCGTGTTCGGTCTATAGTCTACTTTCAGCATGCTTCTCCCATCCTGGGAGGATCCTCCGAACACCCTTTATTTGGTGCTCCTTTCCCTATCTGAGCTCCCTTTTCCCCTAGAATGTGTGACTGGCCTCCAAGCCATGGAGCAAAACTCCTGGTACTAATCTCGGCCACTCTTGGGTGATAATCTCCATAGGGCTTGTTTTAGAGTTCCCTTTCTTGCTTTGTGCTTGGCTTATGTTTTAGTTAAAGTGATGAGTGGGGGATCTGACATTATTTGTACTTTACTGAAAGATGAAGGATTAGGCTGGGATATGGGGACAGTGAAAGAGATCACAAAATAATTTTTGGATTGGGTAACTAATGAACTGGGAGATTAGATGTAAATAAGTTAATAAAATAGAGGTAAGGGCTGTTAGGGCAAAACCTGCTGGACTGGTTCAAAGATCAGATCATCCAGGGCTAATGTTAGCCCATCCACTTCTAGCATTCTTCACTGTGTGACATAGTTCTCATTCCCCTGACCCTGAAAGAGCCTCCAATCATTGGTAAAAGATGAGTAAGAAAAAAATCTGCTA